TGGGCTGAGCCCAACTGCAGGAGTTTCCATAAGGCCAAATGCCGGGGGCTGCCCTTGGGCCACAACAACCCCCAGCAGCGCTACAGGCTTGGGGAGGAGTGGCTGGAGAGCTGCCAGTCAGAGAGGGACCTGGGGGTGTGATTGACAGCCGGCTGAACAGGAGCCATCAGTGTGCCCAGGGGGCCAAGAAGGCCAATGGCATCCTGGCTTGTGTCAGCAATAGCGTGGCCAGCAGGGACAGGGAAGGGATCTGACCCCTGTACTCGGCACTGGTGAGGCCACCCCTCGATTCCTGTGTTCAGTTTTGGGCCCCTCACTACAAAAAGGACATTGAATGACTCGAGCGTGTCCAGAGAAGGGCAACGGAGCTGGTGCAGGGTCTGGAGCACAGGTCGTACGGGGAGCGGCTGAGGGAACTGGGGGTCTTTAGTCTGGAGAAGAGGAGACTGAGGGGAGAGCTCATCACCCTCTACAGCTCCCTGAAAGGAGGTTGCAGAGAGCTGGGGATGAGTCTCTTTAACCAAGTAACAAGTGACAGGACAAGAGGGAATGGCCTCAAGTTGTGCCAGGGAAGGTTTAGACTGGATATTAGGAAGCATTTCTTTCCAGAAGGGGTTGTCAGGTGTTGGAATGAGCTGCCCAGGGAGGTGGTGGAGTCCCCATCCCTGGAGGTGTTCAAGAGTAGGGTCGATTTAGAGCTTAAGAATATGCTGTAGGTGGGAACTGTGCTAGGCGAATGGTTGGACTAGATGATCTCCAGGGTCCTTTCCAACCTAGATGATTCTGTGATTCTGTAAATGTAAAGAAATTCCTTTCAACAACTGCAGGAGAAATCTCAGGTTATTGCTTGCTCTCAGTCTGATGAAGGACTATGACAAACATCCATTATTCACATCAGCCCTGTCTTTTCTCCAGGTTAAAGCTCAAGGAGCAGAGTTTTCAGGTTTGAACGTGGCACTCTAGGATGCGATACATGGCTGATCCCTGTCATTGTTTACATTTTGGAAGACCACATCTATTCTTTGCTTGAGGCTCTGTATTAAAGCCCTCAGTAAACATACCTCCACTTCAGACTGACAGGCATTCACATTCCCAGTATTGAAATACAATGAAATAGCGAAAGGCCTTGGATGCAACACTCCCAGTTCTGACAATATATGAGGCTGGAGGTGTTGCACTGTGCCCTGCAGAGTGCACAGGGAAAGATTTTTGGTTGTCTCTTAGGGTGTAATCTGCTAAATTCAAATTGTAATACTGGCATCAGATTCTCCTAGGTAGCAACTTTAGATATTTTTCAGTTCTCCTTTGCCTACAGGAAGAGAAAGTTTGCACTGGTGACTGCAGCCCACAAGCTACTTGCTGAAATTGGTGCATGCAGCATGACTGGACTACTGGAGAGCAAGCAGCTGCTTCCAGAAGTATCCTAACAACAACAAGCAGTTGTGTGTTATACGTTTAGAACCAAACCAACTACTGCCCTTTTATAACCAACAGAAAGTTCTAGAGGGGTCCAATGCAACTTCCACAGATCCTGCTCCAGCAACAAATTACATTTAAAAATGTGTAAAACCCAAGTTTTACAGAGGAGTTTAAGAATAAAAGAATGTATTTCTATCTTCCCAGGTGCTTCAAAGATTTCTTTGAAGAGATGCTGGAAACTAAAACCCAGTCAGAAACTGCTGTGCTTAAAGACAAAACAGGCAGTAGGGGCCTCCTAAGTTCACAGCTAGAACTGACTGAGTTTGAGCATATTAAAGTAAAAATCTGTTACAATGACCTTGATTAGTCCTTTTTTTACTGAGTTTTGACTAACCCTTTCATAGCAGATGGATTTAAAAAAACCTCAGTCCTTCCTTGTATGAATTAAGTTGTGATACACATTTGAATGACAGGCATGTGCATACTCAGTCTAAAGACAGTAACCGTAACGAAGAGAAGCCTCATGAGGGCCTGGCCCACTGTGCTGTGTGCTTTGAGATCCCAGAAGAAAAAGCTTCATAGTTGGTAGGTCATACTCTGACATTCAGATGAAAGGTACTTATGGAGGTGGTGATAAGAGACTTGTGGGTGACAAGAGAATAAGGAGGTATCAGCCTGAATTTGTTTTTTTTTCACTCCTACCAAGAGACTGTATTCCGCATTATTCTTCCCAGGAGTTTCTTGCACCACAGGTCACAGTTACATAAAATTTCTCATTATGCCTGGTTAATTAGGCAGAGAAGTTGGTAAACTTATCAAAACATAAGCATAGTCTGACATTTTGATTGCAAACCCCTTCAAATGATCAACTTTCTCTGAAGCCCTGCTCACACTGTGACTGCAGCAAGACGCAGAAACACCGTTATCTGCTCCAAAACACATCAATCTTCTTTGTTTTTTCTTGACTGTGGCTTTGCTACAGTCCTCCATCAACCCTTCTGAGTAGTTTTGGAGTCAAACAGCTCTAAATGAGTGTTTGAGGCTAAAAAATGCTTCACAGGTCTCAGCCTGCCACAGTGTACAGCTCCCTCCCTTCCGAGCAGCCTGTGCACAAGCCTCAGCCCGGGCTGTCTCCTGTGGCTAAAAAATACAGAAAACTGTTTGCTACAGCAACTGAGCAGAACTCTGCTACTATAATGAGTTACATATGCAAGCCCCCAAGCCCTTACACTAAGGGAGCATTAATTACACATTTTGGAAAATCAGCCAGCAAACTAGAAGGTGGGAAGCATGTTTGCTGACATTCTGCTCTCATGGGTTTATTTCAGTGCAAGACTGTGAGGGACAACATCCTATTTCCTTAGGCCAGACTCGGATGCCTCTAGCAAGGCTGCTACCTTCTCTCCTAAGGGAGAGGAAACAGCCAGTGCCTCTTGCTGGGCCAACCCACAGCCAAGGGAACAGCCCAAGTGCACCAGGGCAGGAAGAGAGAGCGGGCGAGATCAGGGCTATGGTGATACTGAGCACCCACAGGCCAGTGAGCGACAAGGAGGAGCTGGTTCCGTGGCCCAGCCTGGATGAAAAGATTGCCTACAAAAGCTGAGATACAAGCCTGGCCCCTGCATCTGTACTCAGTCCTGAGCACTGCCCAATTTATAGTCCCCTGGACCTCAGTTACCTACTACCATGTCCTTAATGGGGCTTCCCAGCCTCCACCCTGGCAGAGCTGGCCTGGCATCCCCAATAAAGAATTTGGATAAAGAAAACTCTTGGAGTGTGGCATAGTTAGTACTAATGAGCATACCACCGTGTGTCTGTAGGTCTCAGATGCATTTAATTTACAGAATGTTGGCACAGGAACTTTCATAGTACATGATGTGCAAAGCGACCAAGTTTTATGTAGGTCTCATCAAATCCTGGCTTTCACTAAATCAAAGTGCTTCACTTTGCAACTGCAGTTTTGACAATCCCCTCCTCCTGTCAGTCCACTGATGCTACATGCAGCCCCCCAGTCCCCACAGGGAAGGAGCTATTCTTGTCGTGCTACTGGTGATGGCAGAGATTATCAGAGCTAGGAAGCAGCTAGAAGCAGTGTGATAGCTCCAAATACTCTCAATTTAACTGAAGTTAAAACAATTTTTTATTCCTGTGCATCATACTATTTAAAACTTGCATCATCCTATTTATAACTCCATGTGCTGCAGAGCTTTAAGTTCAGAATTTGTAACTATCAGATATTAAGAGAAAAAAAAACAACCTAGGAAGGCAGGAGAATTCTGGAACCAGCAGACTTTGCCCACAGATGAAACTGCATCATTGCTACAACAATCACATATTAAACCAACCAACACTGAAATATTTTACTATTTGACATCATGAGATTCCAAAAATTTCACTGAAGTGCAGAAACTTCGAATTACTGCCCCAGCCTCTCTTCAGATTTAGTATTTCTGCATCACGTAGAGCACGTCTACAAAGAGGTGGTTTTTTTTTTTTCCCCCCCACAACAGCAGAAGACAGAAAATTTAATAGACTGAAAACTAGAAATTGGACTGTGGCAAAGCTGAGCCTCAACCAAAGAAATACATCAGCTGTGCTGCAAATATGGCAAAGAAAAAAACCAAAAAGTCAGCTGCTTCTCCCCATGCACCCCAGATTTAATGAAACAGAATTTAAGTAATGAACACCATCAAAATGCAGCTACAGAAAGTACTTTGCTTTACTGAATCTGTAAAATGAAAACCTGAACTCTTCTGATAGCTTAAGAGGGTAAGAGGACTTCACATCGTCACTATCAAGATGTGCGTTTCAGAATGCTTGTAGACTTGCTTGGCATCATCACCACAGACAAACCATTTTCCCTTCTGTGCTCCTTAGGCGCTACCCACTGTCAGCCCTGCTGCTAGTACTTCAAGCACACACCACTCCGTTACAAAGCACATCTCATGAAAACTTAAGCAAAATAAAACAGCCTCTCTTGCGGCAAGGAGTCACTGCATGCTCCAGCCAGCAGGAAAAAGACACGTTAGGAAGAAAAGGAGTAAGCTCTACTCATTTCAGGAGAGATTTGAATAGTTTATTTTGCCCAATCAAGAGCCCTTCAGCATAATGACACATTCATATACACATATATGAACATTTTTTCTGAAACATTAATGTATAATACATTTTAAATTTAAAATACCAGCTGCACAGGTATTTTTATTTACAAAAATATTCCATACTTAATTTTTTAACTTTGTTATGATGACATAGTTCAGTTCAAGTACATGTAAGTAAAATAACTCTATGCAATCTAACATAGTTGTGTTTGTAACAGTACAGTTTGCAGTTCATATGAAACTATATTTGTAGACAGATGAATTTGCAACCCTACCTAAATGCATATTCCAGTAATCACCCTCAGAAGAGCTAGTGGGGCTCAGCAAGACTTAACTGAAGAATAAGTTGCAATGAACAAAAAGAAAAAAGAAAACACACATGTACACACTAAGATATACATAAACGAGAACTGCCACACATCAAGCATGCTTACCCACAAGTGGGCAATGTTAGAAAAATTTACTGATGTTTTTTTATTCTTCCCCCATGGTGCTGGTACAATGAAACAGTAGCATAACTAGAAAGCAGCATGTTTTCCTAGTTCTAACCACTACAGATAGCAGAGCTCAGGTCTAAAATAACACAGTACTGCTTATTTACAATTCTTTTTTAAAAGGGAATATTTAAAACATGTTCCCACCCCTCTCCTTTTGCATCATCTATTACTGAATGGTGGTGGTAATCCACATACAACTCCTTACATGTTTTCAACTGAAACAGTTTAACTTCTAGTTATTATTTGCCTGGTAATATATAACTTAGATACTAATAAAAAGAAACACAAGTGTCAGAGTAACCTACAGCTGTAGGACTTAAACTAGGCGCTTTACATGGAAAACTAAAAGGAATACTGATTGACACCTTTCATTTGATTGTTCCGTTTGTCCTTCCTTTTAATTTTTAAAAATGAACGTCCATATCTTTAAGCCTAAATTTTATAAAGTCTAAAAGAACCCAGAAACACAGTACACTCATCTGACTTGAAACAGTAATAAAGTAGATGACATACAGCACATCTTTATAACATGCATAAGAAATTGGCCCAGCTTAACTTAGCCTTTGAATGAAAACTCAAATAAAATTGGGTTAGCTGATTTGCCTACACTACACATCTTTTTTTTTCTATTTTACTTACTTTCTCCCCCTAAATATCATTAATTTCTGTCTACAAAGTACTGACAATTTTGTGGTAGTAGCAAAGCTATCAACATCCACCCCAAAAAACCCCAAACCTAAATTATACAGGAAATTGGCTAGAGTGAGAAAAGGTTCTACCAACAACTACCCTGCAACTCGGAGAGGGAGGCAAGGCACTGCACTCCTTCCCCCCCCCACACTTCAGCTGCTATCGCTGCCTGCCCAGGTATGTTAAATCATGATGAGAAAGAAGAGGGCACTTCAGCCACAGGCTGTAAGTTTTACAACACATGTTCAGTATACAAAATAAACCCCTGATTTACATGTAAAGAGCTGATGTGTAATCAAGATTCATACATTATTCAAAGAAAATATCTACTGGACAAACCTCACTTCAGTTTTGGGGAATTTTAAAAGGCCAAGAGAGCTGAAAAAAAATCTTTCATGTATATACCTAAAGAAATAAAGTCATAGAAAACTAGTCAGCCACAGACTGCAGCTGTTGAGAAAACTTTTATATTAGGTTAATTTTCTGAATGCATTATCTTCCCTCTCCATACTTAGGGGATTGTTTAAGAATGTTCAAAATGGGAGGTAAAAATAAGTATGATTATTTTCCGCAAAGCAAAATGGGCTATTTGTTTTCATTGCTTAGTAACTGTATCATCTCCATATGAGATATGAATGTATTCATAAGCTTAAAACAACTTCTTCTATGGATAATATACATACTTTAAGTACTTTGACTTAAAAATTGAACGTAAGTCTTTTTAAAATTAAAGGTAGAAGTGTACATATAAAAATTATTTAAAACTAAAAGTATATTCTTAAGCAGTATGTATAAATATAACAGATTTTATTGTATTATCTAGTAACAAATCTGAAAGTGTTGCAGAAATTTATAAACTGAATGCTGACACAGGATACGTGCCTTCCATTAGATTCTATATTGTATATACTTGTATATACATATTTTTCTAAGAAAACACACATTCTAAATGATAGTCACATAATCAGCAAATGTGCCTGAAAGTAATCTGTTCTGAAGTCTTTATTGAACGTGTGTGTTTATATACAAATAATGAACCTGAACTGCACAAATGCAGGAAAAAACAACAAAAAGGAATAAAATACTATGATTGAATTAAAGTGCAGGAAAAATTCAAGTTTAAAAGTTCAGGTAAGATCAGTGCCATTAATTAAGCAAAAAAAAAACACCCCAAACCCCCAAACCCTAAACAAAAAAACAAAAAAAAAAAAGGAGAAAAAGAAAACAAAAAGGAAAAAAAAGGAAATTATCTTGCTTCCAAAAATCCTCCTTTGGATGTAGCTTTCCAGCATCACCTACCATGCAAGTATCACCTCAGGCAAAAACCTTTGCATAAAGACAGACAAGGAACACAGCTATATATTACTGTATTTTATAGCTGACTGTTTGCTGAAGAGCAAATCATTGGAGATGCCTGTGGTGTAACACTTTCAGACTTACTTGGAATGCACGCATATGTACACACATCAACATTCAAAAGTTAGTTTGGCAGGACTAAGGTGAAGAAAAGCTTCTTCAGTTTACAGTTTCTAATGAGACACACTACATATAAACAGATAGGTAGCAGCAGTTTCTTACACTTCCATCAAAAAAAATAAAAAAGTAATAGCTCAATTGTATTTCATAGTTTTTCAGACACTCGAAGAAAGTTTCACATAACTAAAATGCTAGCGAAAAAAACAGGGGTGCTTCCCCCCAAGAATTTCAATATACTTTGCTGTACAAAAGGTGCACCACCAATAGCAGAATGAGATGCAATGATGCGTGTACGATCAACTTCCTTCCGCAGAGAAGGAAAAGAACGTTTTAGACTAAAATTGTACATAGCCCCTTTTATTGACCAAGAACCATTTGTATATTGATCTCATGAGCAATCATTTCATTAGTTATCCAATCTAGAAGCATGCTCTGAACATATGCAACAAAAAAAGGATTCAACTCTGAAATTCTATAATACCCAATAAGCTGCTACTCTTCTTTGCACTGACAGATGGTCTCTCATTGCCTTTTTTTTAATTATTTTTTTTTGCTTGCTGGTGGTTGTCAAACGTTTCTTGATGAGAAAGTTAAGTATGCTTTCCTTTCATGCCAAGGTCATCTTCCAGTGCACCAATACCATGACCTGCTGCAAAGTACTTTGCCATCCTCTTGCCCAGAGCCTGACCAGACTAATTTTCCAGGATTTTGTTGCCCTGAAATACAGTTCATCTTCACCAGGTCAAATAATAATCAGTCATCTGAATTTATAAACATGAGATAAGGAAGGGGACAAGTGTCAGCTAGGATATTTTATTAAAAAAAAAAGGAGTTTCTCTAGTTTTCTTCTAATCTGGATTTTTAACAAAATGGTGTTAATTTAAATATGCATTAATTGGACACTAAAAATGAAATTAAGATGCAGAGGCAAAAACTGAGTGGCAAGCTGAGTTAAGTAACTGGTGTTAACAATTCCTCAGTATGTATGGGACAGGGCCATCAAGAAATCATAATGCTGGTTGTTCAAATTGTCACATTCTCATTTGTTAAGCTCTTTGAACAGTGGACATGGTATGGCATTCCCTCGTACTGGCAACAGAATTCCCTTGTCTTTTTTAATTAAATGTTATTATACATAAAATCAGAAAATTTATCAATTTCTGCTACCAAGCCCAAACATATTTGCCTCTCATCTGAAAAATGAATTAAGAGCCATCATTAACTTCAATATTTTGCATCCTTTAAGTGTTTTGTAAGGTTGCCTTATCTATGTACCCGCAACATCATTTTAAATACAAATATAACCAAGGTTTTGCTTTGGGAACATTCAGAAAGTGTGTGAAAAAACCCACACAGAATGTGATGCTTGGAGAAGCAAACCCAAATGATTAATTTCAGACAATGTAGACTTATTAGCTTCTAAGTACTTCCTTTTGTAAAACAAAACCTGTCAGGAACTGTGTTGAAGAAAAAAGTCAATGAATTTTTGAAATGCCAACATCTATTTTAAGGAATCCTCTCTTTTAAAAGGAGCTCTGGTCATTTCCACTGTTACAACTTTAGTGTAGCAGCTGTTAACAAGTTAGCTCAACTATATTATTTACCTCACCCAAACTGAACATTATTTCACTCATTCTTGAAGTTTTTTAGTGGACACTTACCACTGCCCACATTGAAAATACTGCTTTAATACTAAACCCAAACTTTAGGCCAACTGCCTTAAGTGCTGGGTGGGGCTGAGATACATACTTGTTAAATAGTTCTACTAGCAGGATTAGAAATTTGCTAAACAGTATACTGACAATTATTAACTATTAGATGCTTGCCATTATTCATGCATCAGCACCTCCATGGAGTGTGAAACTGTTTGAAAACCTGAGTCCAAGATTATCCAATTTCATAGTAAAGGACTAAAGGGGCAACTAGAACTTAAGTAAAACTATCTCAGCTATTTTGATTAATGGCTGTAAAGATACATTCTGTTAAACATTTATGAAAATTCACAGCATGAATAGAACCCACAGCCAATTCTAAATGTTATACAAACTGAACCAGTAACTATTTTTGGCAAAAAAAAAAATATTTAACCGATGTTTAAATATTCTTACCACAATGAAGATGTTACCACATTTCACATTGTACAGCCATAACACAAATGAAAACTCCCAGTATGACACATTCCAGTCATATTATTCACTTGACTTTTTTAATGCAAAAATTGTGCATTCTCTTGTTTTGCACTTCACAGAATATGATGTGAATACAAGAATACTAGATCAGGGGCCCAAGAAAAGACTATGCACAGGTCAACTATGTATACAATTTTCAACAAGAAATCTTCCAAGCTTCCAGGTTTTCTGATGAAAGAAGTGACAGCAAACTTCAACTCTTCTTCAACGTTAATGGTAAATATAGTAAGTCCTAGAGAGGGTAAGTGTAAGTCAGCTACTGTCCAGCAAGACAAACAACTTTATTCCAGCTCTTGGACCCCTGATTTATTGCCTCTCCTCACAGGAGGGTATAACACTGGCAGCAATTACAGTAGCACAAAAACTTTTGGCATATGAAATATTAACACAGGATTGACCCTGCATTGCCCCTGCCCACCTCACACTACATTTTCCCTTTACCCTCTTTTCCACATGTTCTAGTTACCTTCTCTGTTCCAGCTATCAGCTAACCAACAGCTAAGAAACACTCAAGTTTGGTTTTTTGTGTGTGTTTCTTTTAAATATAAAGCTCCTCAGTTAAAGCCATGACTGAGGTAAAACAGTGTGTGTTTTGTGCTAGGAAACAACAGTATCCAGTGGTGAATACTCCTTTAAATTTCAATGGTCCTGCCAAAATTAATGAAAAACCAAGATTTTTTTCATCAGGACAAAATTAAACAGATGTAGTTGATGAGCATCATCAGAATTGGTACCACTTCTTGTCTTTGTACTTCAACATCATCTAAAAAATAGAAAATAATTACTGTTTCTATAGCATAGCAAAAAGTACAATACAAACAAATTATATGCTTACAAAGGAACATGAAAAAGGGACTTTAAGGTTTCTCAAAACTGCAACAACGTGTTGAACAGTGAGGGTTTAGCATGATGAATTTTCTAATCACTGCTGCTGATCTCGACTCAAAAAAGTCATTTTTGGGGGGAGTGGGAAGGTTGCACAATAATTTAGGGGATGGAAGGAGATCCACAGGAACACAGAAGGGAATAGCCATCCCATGTAGTTACTGAGGAAAAAAATTACCTTGGACTCATGGGGTTGGCATGCAACAACCTGATCTTAAGAAACACAGAAATCTCACAGAGCATTGCTCTTGTTATCTAATTCAGCAACAAATTCTTTAGGTAATGGGAACTGAGCTGCACTTTTGGAAGTCTACATACCACTCACACAGATGGTATGCTCTAGATCGATGTGCCACAGACAAAACTGTTTACATTAACACTTAATCATCAGGAGTAATCACTGATAGATCCTTTATCAACGATGTTGCATTCCCTTTGGATATGTCCAACATGACTTTGAAGAAGTCAGTTACTTGCAAAATTTGCCTTTATTTCACAGATAATCAGTTTAATGTTCAGTTTAACACATAACAGACTCACCTCATGAGCGTGTTTAGAGAAAGAATCAGCACTGTAAAGCATAGCTGCAGTTTTTTCTTCTAGTTCACCTAGTTTCTGTCCTCTTTCATCTAGTGCCAGCCGGGCTCGTGCTAGTTCACCAACTACACCAGATGCTGCTCCTTTGACACCTTCAATACCCCCAGGCCCTGGAATATGCTGGGCAAGACTCCTTGATGCTTTCCCAGATGCTGATTCTCCAACTGGAGGCATTTGCAAAGAAGCAAAAACAGAACAGTAAGGTTTTCTATCATTATTACATAAATACCCAATACCAATGTAACTACTTTATAAAGAGGCACCATTTCTTTGCATGGACACCGAGTGCCTAATAATAGGCATAACTACAGACAATAGTCACTACTCAATGTTACTACATGTTACTATTTAGTAAAATGAGATTTTCAAAAATATTTCCAATTTTTCAGGCAGGCTGTAAAATGATAGCCTTTTCACAGCTCAAGTGTGAAATTAAAACTCAACAGTGCTGGCATCACAGTCATCAAAAGAATTGTGCTGGTGAAATGGTTTTTAACAATATAGCTTATTTCACATGGAAGGTGCTGAGAGTTCAGCAGACAAAGCAGGAGAATTTTGAAAAATACAAGTTGTGGTTAGTTTTGCAAGTGCTCTGCTGTTTATAGCCAGCCAACAGCTAAAGTTTCCTTTGATGAAAGTTCAATTTTAGATGCGGACATCTGAAGATTAGGTGTCTATGCTCTCATTATTGTAAAAATCTTGTCAAATATAATGTAACGTAAATCATGATGAAAAGGCAGTACAGCAGTAATAACAAACCAGCTCATCCTAAAGTAAACACCCATGAATTGTCAGCTGAACAGCTCCTGACTCCAATGACTGACTGCACTGACTACATCTCTCTTGCTCATAACGAGACATAAGGCACCTACTTCAGTCTAGACACTTAATGGACATGTCAAGCTCATGCTCAATTGTATACTCTACAAAAGCTTGGAGTGAAGGCCAAAACATTTTTGGATCTTGAAGTCAAATGAAATATTCTTCAACTTCTTTTTTAAACAATGAAATTATGGTTTAAATATTTTTTTATTTTCACCTTTAGGAAAAATTAACTTATTTAACAAGGTTTGCTGCAATATTTCAAGATTTTCTGATTCGATTTGATGCTTCTAGGAGGAACAATTTAGAATTTAACCAACACTATAAACACCTTTCTGTGAATTCCCAAGAATAAAAGAGAGAAACAATTTATTACAGATTCTGATTGACCCTTATCGTAAATATGACTATTGAAAAGACATTTTCAGATGTCTTTTGAATCATTGAAATCACTTTCAGGCTACAATTCATTAGGCTTTTTTCTCCCATTCAATACTGTTTTCCTTCTGAAGATCTGAGCCAAAACATGAAAACTTAACATAATGTAAAGAAAAAGCCTCTAAAGTTACAAGAGTGCTTTTCTGTTGCCATGAAGAGGCAGTTTTTCCTTGCCCCAGTCACACTAATTAAACATATAATCTGTGCACACAGACTTCTCTAACAGATTACTTGACCAACCTTTTGAAGTATTACACATATATAAATACAAATGGTATTTTTAACACAGGAAGTGACCTCTAAATATCTGATATTCATTAAAAATGTACAGGCACAAGTAGTAAGGACTAATTTAATTTTTATTGGATAGAAGAACCAATAATAAAAGAAAGGATTGCCAAGGAGCCTTGTCTGTTTTAACAGCTATATTTCATGTTAAAAAGGCAACAGTTCTTACAAATAAATTTGCATAATATGATGTTTCATCTAGAAAATATCTCAGTGAAAATTATTTTTCTTAAATATATTAAAATGATTCATGCCATCACAGTAAAATAAGCTATAATCAAAAAACAATGAGAAAATGATAAAGCAATAAGAGCTGTGCTTAATCTGAATTTTACTGTCCTATGAACAGAGAACTGCATTGAACTATCATACAGTTCTGTCCTTGCTCTCATTACTAAGGCATTTCTGCACAAGTCAAGTGAGGAAAAAGAATCTATCAAATGAACTGAAGTTGAACGCAGTTTTAATTTTCTCACTGTCCAGAAAGAGTCTTCTTCAGAACCAGCCCCTTTCAGTTTAACATCATTAAGAAAGTCATGGTCAGTACTATACACTTCATGAAGATGAAAATAAGATCAGCTTTCTCATTTGTTTTATAATCTACTCCTAAATAAATGAGGTAAAGGTGTTTGTGAGAAAACAGTACCAAGTTTTTCTGATCTTGTTGGGAAGTTGAACAACACATAAAAGCTATGAAAGAGTATCTGTCATTCTCTTTTTCACTTTCCTTTTTGCAAATGTGATGTTCTATTAACGCAGGTAATACATTTTTCAGGTATCACTGGCTTCCTTGGGTAGAAATAGCAGAAAAATAACAAATACTAAAAACTTACATAGTTCTTCTCTGTCAAGTGACTGTGCCCCACCTCCAAACAGGCCTTTGAAGAACCCCCTGTTCGGTGCTTCTGGTGTTTCTACAGGAGTGAAGAGCTCACCCAACATTTCCTTTACATTGAAGAGGAGACAGAAGGCATACATTATTTCACACACAAATAAATGGAATACTCTTTCACTTTGTGGATTTATTTTGTGGATCTGAATTTCAAAAGGAACAGGCTTTAATAAGCATCTGACTTTGCAAAGTGACTTAGGAAATAAAAAATAAAAACATATTAAGAAATCTGTCCAAATCATCTGTTCTGACAGTTGCAAGCTTATAACTCAAGAAATTCAGTAACATAGAAACAGGTTCAAGTCAAGCTGTATTTGCTTCTCAACTTAGGCAACGCTCCTGATGTTGTTCTGTTTAAACTGTATCTACAAACACTCGTATCTTCACATGGTACCAAAGCAGAGCTTCCAACCTGCATCTCTGCTCTTTCAAGTATTCTATACAACTTCTAAGCTGAAACATGACTAAGATTCTTCTCAACCATCCCGAGTTAGCATTCCCCACTTACATCAGCCTTCAACTCCACCCGCATTAATTGAACACGGGAGTTTTGTTAACTGCACATGTTAAACAAGGAAATTGCCTATCGATCAAAAAAAGAAATTAAGAAAGAAACTTTAAATACAAGAGGATGGATGAAACAGTAAAATTTAGGAGAAGTGATTAATCTCAAATCAGACTCTACAGTAAAAAAAAAAAAAAAAAAAAAAAAAAACGAAGTGCTTGGCTTTATGACAAACTTAATTACTGTAAGCGTTGTGAATCTAGAACCAAGAACCTCAGAGCATCTCTAACAAAACAGTAATTACTTTTTTAATTTATTACCTGAAGATTTTCACATGTTTCTTGACTGTAGGTGAGCCTCTGTATTTCAGTTGGTGAGACAAGATAGAGTGCTTGTCCATTATTGGTGAAGCAGAACGTTCTCGCTATACGCATATTGGTGAGTGGCAGGTAATATACATCCAACAATGGCCGTAAACTTGGCAAACTTAAGAGAAAGAATCAAAAAACCCATTAAATATAGCAGGATTGTCTATTACTGATCAATTATTATTAATTTTTAAATAGTCATACATTACTTTTCACCATATGCATAAGTACCATATATAGAGGGTATCATTTAATGCAATTACAAAATCTCAAAGCATAAATATGAGAATTTTCAAGGTAGCACCTCAAAAGTTAAACATCTGCATCCCAGAGGCATTCAAAAGCATCATTTCAATGATACTCTGAGCATGTAAATCAGATTAAGTTAAAACATTATTCAGTAATTACGAAGTATTTTGGGAAATATCTACCAAATGTTTACAATTAGACACCCTGCCTCTTCTATCAGGTGAAGAATTTTTCCTTGACTAAAAATACAAGTCTAAAAGAACACTTAGAAATACACAGGAGCGTGCTTTCAAAGGGAAACAGATTTCAGTAGCCTCAGTCTTATGAATTACATCCACCTGTTTTGTTTGCATATTTAAGAGCAAAGTTTGCTTACCTTGTATTTTCTGATTCTGCACATGTTACTTCAGTACTTACTGCATCAAACTACTAAAGAACAGATGCAGTGCACTCAATCTGTAACAGTGCTCTTACTACCAAACATCCCTCTCCCTCATAGTAATCATACAAGTAAGAGACTGAACACCTGATGTCTTGATAGAACCGAAGACAAACTGTTGTCTCAACAACATCCACTGTGAAATTTTTGTAAAAAAATAATTTACACGAGATTTTAGCTGCAAATATACCAACAATACATTAAGCAGCTTCTGCTGCAGGTACCATCTGCATAAGAGTAATATTTCTAGAAATGAAAAAAAGCAATAAAGTGGCAAAATGAAGCCAAAAGCAATGAAAAAGAAAGATGTAGTTACTGCAACAGCAAGTGTTGAGGTTGTTTTTTTGGTATGATACTGAGATTTCTAAATGTTAAGCTTACATTTTACAGATTGTGGATTATATTTTAGCAAGAGACTTCATCTATAACAAACAAAAGGAAGAAGAACTGGTAACATGACTTTGGAGGCAAGTTCTACAGGTAAGAAATAAAAAGCAGTATTCTCTTGTAAGCAGATCACCCAGAAATGACATTTCTGCCATGGATGTCTCTAAAATAAGAAAATTCCTAAGAATGAGTTAGTAACAGGGAAGTGCTTTGCTTCAGACCAATAGAAGCACAAAACATCCTTACAGCTTCAAGACAAAACATAAAAACATTAGATTGGATAGGACAAGCATGACATCCATGATAGCATTTTCACAGTATCAAACAAATCTGTAACAGAATCACTGAGTCCTATCTAAAGTTATACCAGTAGGTAAGTACTGGACATCTTGGGTATGATACAATGCTCTAAAAACTTTACACAAACAGCACGTTAAGACTGCTTCCCAGCAGCAGATCATGCTTATGAAATGACTTGGGAGTTCAACTTTCCTACATAATATAACAATTCAATATTTATAATTTAGCCCCTACCTCTAAGCAAAGTTAATTAGTAAACAGAATTAATACTGATGAAAACAGGATTTGTTTCAATATATGGTACCTGAACATTACTAAGTTCAGTTTTAATTAGAGTAAAAATAGTTCTTGCCCTGCAAAGTGAGCAGCATTTTGTAGAGATGTTTAGAATATATGCTAGAGTTAAGAGACAACAATCAAAACTTAATTTTTAGTTGTAGTATGCATCAGCTTTAGTTTTTTTCCTAACAACTTCCTGAAGAAGTATATTTTTAGAGAATTTCCCAAGCTGAGAGCTTGTTTTTGCAACCTTAAAAATAACCTTTTAGGAATTCTACCAGTACAGTTTTACAATGCTGTGTTCCACATTCATCTTGGCATTAACCATGACTAAAATGTAGGTGCAAGGGTACAGGTATATACACACTGCTGTTCAGAATGAAACAGCATTTGGAAATACTAAAGAAAAAGCACATGTTAAAATTACATAGGTGACATGCAAGTATATTCAAACATTACTTTTACACAGTTAACCTCATAACTTAAACCCCTTACTTTATATGACTTATATACTACAACTGCTAGCAACTAATCTTGCCTTTATAGCCGGAGTTTAAGGCCTTTAAGACATGAGCAAGCTACACAACAAGATGGTAAGCTTGAGGCATGAATGTGATGCAAACAGCTGCACAAAAATATGCAGAGTCGTGGTCAGGTACCAGCTGAACATCTGACTCAAGGCAGTTTTCTCCATCAGGGAGTAAATTCCCCTCTGAGATAAACTTCATCAACTCACAGACCTATATCACGTGTTTGGAACTATCTGCTGAATCAGGGTAGCTTGAGCTCAAGTGGTGAATTTTTTCATGTTTTAAATGCATAACTAAGAGGAATGCATAATCAAAATTATCAGGCCCAAGTGTTAGAGGTTCATCAACACTGAGTGAATGTACATTTTTTAATTTTATTTGTATTCTAATGGAAAAGGAAACTTTTTATCTAGCAGAAGATTCTTTTTTCTTTTTATATTTAAGTTACTATCAAACAGGTCTTACCTAAAAGTCATAATATGTCCGTTGGCACAGAAACATGCAAGGCAGATACTGTTACTCAATGATACTATGTCTCCACGAAGAACAAAAGAAGTCTCTGTTATGTTTTGCTTATAAATACAGTTCTGGGATGGCAGTGAGATAACTTTTGCTTGCTTTTCTGAACATATCACTGCATATTGGTTTTCACTGATTTCCTGAGAGGAAGAAGGGGACACTGAGACAGGTCGTCGCTTTTTTGATTTATCTTTTTCATCTTTGTCTTCAGCAACATTGTGTTCTCTCCAGGGTTCATGTGCTGGTGGGACCAAAGAGCCGGTGGTATCCAGAAAAGCCATTCTCAAGATTGCCCCTTTTAGCCTCAGGATGGTTCCTAGGAAAAACAAGTTGAGCACGTATCTAAAACAGTTCTCCTAAATTGTGTTTCAAGCCACAACATATTGCTTTAAGAAGCTACCTCAAAAAAAAAGAAAACAAGAACTTAGGCTTGCCTCTGTAGTAAAAAAGATATACCAAAACCTTTGGAGGTTTATCTAAAAACCAACAAAGCAGGTGCAAGAGCACTTATGCATTCAATAAAATGTTAAACCAGTTTTCAAGAGTAAAGTGCATGCATACTCTTCCATTAACTTCAACAGAAATGTATATGTTTAAAAGAGCCAAGCTGGAACATACATTTGTTCAAAGAGTTCAGTGTCACAAATGCAACTCATTTCATTCTCTTCTGAGTACACAGTGTGCTTAAATCAACAATAAATGTTATTACTCAAAGGCAAGAACCTCCTTTTTCTTTAATACAAATATGGTTTTTTTTGCCTCCTTGCAGTTCACACTTAAATCTATCTCTCTAGCACAAAATGGAAGAGGAATAGTTTTCCCTCCCCACTGTTTAAATCATTGTCTCTGTTTTTTTATTTTCTTACATTTCTTACTGTTATTCATGTAAGTAAAAACGTGAACATTTGTTAAGTACACAAAAAAATCATACACATGCCAGTATCTTAAGGCTTATGCTACAGATGCAGTGATTAAACATACTGTTTAGTCTCCAGCCTTGCCTTTACAATCAAATGTTACCAAAGCTGAATGATGCTACCAATACCATACTTGATAAGCACAATTCACACATATGGTCTAGAGGTTACACTATTCCTAATCACTATTTCAATCAAACAGCATTGCAATTTGCATGTCCTGATACCAACTGTGTGAGCAAAATAGAGCAGAACAGCATGTTCTGCATGTAACAGTGGTAGCAGGAAAACTAAATCTATGACTAATAGCACATTCAGCAAACCATTAATACATCACTACAACAAAATTAGTTGCTGTGTACCAGAAAAAGAAGATACAAGATGTCTCAAAGCAATACAAAGGAGTATTTTATCACTAATATTTAAAGCTAATTGTTCAATATACAACCCTCAAACTTGAGTTCCTGATTCATAATGCAGGAAAACCTCAGCAAGAATACATTTAATAGTATTTTTATATTATATGAAATCATATTTTCAACTTTGCAACTTCAAAACTCAGTAATGATGTAACCAATCTAGATTGTTAATCTTGGTAGCTAGATTAATGGAGTATGTATTAATTTTTCATTAATCCATACTTAAGAAAAAGAGTTTCTTTAAAAAAAAAACCAACTGTAAAGAACAACAATACTTTGTCGAAGTACACTTTAGCCTTTATACATACCACTAGGAGAAACAATTACTGGCTGAAGAAGTCTTTGCTCTCCTCCTGGGGGTAAATTCAGTACAATGACAAGCACTGTACCCAGCGTGGTCCCAACCCACAGGCATGGGGAAGGTGATGTATCAGACTTTCTTGTGAAAGTCTCACAAAAATGAAGAGCTGAAATTGCCTCACGTGTCTCTTTATCAATGCTAGTTACACTAGAACTCCGAGATCGACTGAAAGAGTTGTCTTTGACATCTGAAAATAAATCAGTACTAATTAAAAAGAATGGCAAAATGCAGGGATTAACAGAATACAGATTTTCTTTTTTGTTCTTTAGCATGAAGTATATACCAACTACCATTCTATTGATTATTAGTCCTGTATTCTTTTTTAGTCCTATTTCCTTTGGCACAGTTTTAAACACTGTATCCTGAACAAAGTGCCCAATCTTTTTGCCATTAGGTAATTGTCATGAACATACTTCTTTCTTCTTGGGACAGAGAATAACTCATCATCAAACAGGACGACTCCTACAAAAAAACCTGAATTACAAACCTCTCTGTCAATTGGTTCATTGACCAGATTAACAAATACTGGCTTCCATGGAACACAGTTTAATAATCTTATGAAGATGCAACTATTTTACTTTAAGAACTGCAGTGACTTCTAGACAGCACATGTAACCTGTAATGACTCATAGTAATGTTGTCCCACTTTAGGAAACCATATGGAGGAGGTAACAGGCTATTTACACACACCCAAACTTTTAGTAAGAGAAACATCAAATGCTACCAAATGCCACCTGGCACTGATGTGCAAAGCTGAAGACTTTAATTTTGAATACTGTAGTGTAGTGCCAGAAATGGCACTAAAACTTTTCAGGACATCTTGCTCACTGCTTAGCAAATAAGGTTCTCTTAAAAGAGAATGAATTCTAATAATAACGAAACACAAACCAGTAAACTTGCTGCTCCATTCTAGCTGCGTGCTGTCTGTGTGTGTGGTGACACTTAAAACATCAGCATGTCTGAATTTAACTGTGCGTTCATGAATTAATGTTTTACTTCCTTAACTCATCATTCCAAAATTTAGCACAAGACAACCTTTACTAGTAAAAGTTTGATGAAATTTATATCATGCCTTTTAAAAAATTAAGTTCCGAGTTTTGATCTTTGGGTAGGGTATAGATGCGATTGCCATCTTTAAAGTAGGACTAGGATCTAAAGATCAACATCTAACCACACACTTTCTAGAAGTATCACTATGCTAATTATATTATTGCAAAACTTTCTACAAGGAACATTAACATGCACTTGAAAAAGCATACAAACTAGATTTCAATGGACTAAATACAGACATCTACTCAGCACAAACAGTGAATCTTCTCAGGATACTTGTCTCATTCCAAGAAGGATACAAAAATTATTGTCCTGCTGAATTTTTTTGTTGTCCTGCTAAGTCAAATGTAAAACACAGGTTACAGAAAGAAACTAGGTGAACCACTCAGATGCTGACATCTAAGTTTTCACATTTAAAAAAATAAAATCCAGAGTAAAACAATGAAAACAATTATTTGTTTTTATAATTCTTCTAATGACCACAAACTCTTAAGATGCTTGTTTCTTCAGGCTTGAGTATTTACTAACTTACTTTTTTTCCAACTCTAACATGGATTAATCAGTCTAAATATAATTATATGTTAACGGCAATAGGCATAAAATTAAATGTGCATTTGTTGAGTTGAATCTGGTTGAATATATGAAGAGTATGTGTACAAATTCCAGAAACACTGTAATGGACTGGAAAAACACCATAAAAATTAACTTGCCAAACAATATGGGCATATTGTGGAGAGTGGACAACTCATTCAGAAGAGAGAACTGAGGGCAAAGAGTTTAACTGCTTTAGTGCGTATTATTTATCCTGAAGTCAAGGAAGAATCTATGGTTAATGAATTAGTTTCAGATGAAGAGGAAGGAACAAGTGTGATGACCCACTACACACAACTTCATCAGAAGGATGGAAAGATGAGGCTCTTTTGAGCAACTAAACCAAAGGATAGGACCTAATGGTACTTTAATCATCTGGATTACAACATTAAAAAGCGATGGTATAATGCAGCCTAGAGTATGTTCAGGATAACTTCTGTTTTAGAATGTGGAGGATAAATACAGAAGCACATACTTTGGATTTTGGTTTGACTATTTAGAGAGGAAAAGAGCAGGTTAAAGATCTAAAGACAGAAAAGTAATTTGAAAGAATGAGATCATGGAAGAGTAGGTTTCAAGAAGCCATGGAAAGAAAGGAGAAAAAAGTGATAAGGATAATGACCTTGGGAGAAAGGCATTCCAGCTATCTCCTAGAGCTAGTAGATATGGCCACATAAGTGACAAAAAAAATACAGGCAATGTTTGAAGTACACTATGTGAAATCTATCCCTCTAGGAGAAAAGACAGAAGTAAAAAAAAAAAAGATTGATTGCCTAAGTTATTTACAGACCTGAAAATCTAGAAAAATTTCACACAGAACAAAATGAGGCATCTAAGTGCCAATACCTACACATGTGCGAAGTCAAGCAAAACCAGCCAAAGGTTATTAGAACGCAGAACGTATAAACTATTTGATGAGTATACCAGAAGTGAGATGACAAAAAACCGCCATTATTTCTGTAGAAAGAATAGCAAATATTAAATGCTGAAAATGCTGAAACTCATTCAGGATCAGAAAATGCTGAATTTCAGTATTCTCTTTTCTCTGGTCTTCATTTAAAAAAAGAACGCTTCTAAGTACTTATTGTTATCAAAGAACTGGGAGTAAAATAGTAGAATTAGAATGAATTGGATAATATTTAAGTATAAACGTGTTCCAGTTTGCAAAGTATGATAAAAATCACCCTAAACTGAAATAATCTCTAAGCCATTAGTAAACATAGTAAGGACGAACAGAAACAGACTGAAAAGACGGATCAAATTTTTCTGCTCTCTCAAGCAAAGAAGGCCACAGTTAAATCTCTCTAGTTCTCAGCACTAGAGTTTTAGAAAGATGAAAAAAAATTCCAAGTCCAGAGAAGATTAACAGAAGCCATCCTCGATTTAGACAACATAACCTACAAAGGGGAAGGAACTGAATTTTATGAAAAAATCTGCAAAAATGAAGATTACAGATATGATGACAGCTTTTAACAGCATAAAAAGATGACTACAAAAAGATAAGGAGCACTTGTTATGCCTGTTCATTGTGGAAAGGACAAGAAAAAATAAAAATGGAAGCAAGGAAGATTAACAGGAAATTAGTCTGACCATAAAACATTGGAACTTTCTGTAACGGATTTTTTCTAAAAACTTATTTATTGGAGGCTCATGAATAGATCAGAGGCTAAATTGTGAGCATCTGGATCTTTGCCATAGCAATGGATTAAAGGATCTCTGAGGGTTCCTTCCAACTTCACATTTCTCCAAGTGGAGCATTCTGCAATTATAAACTGTAAGTCAGGGTGGTCCAGCTCAGTTTCAGGATATCCCAGGGTGCCATAGGCTCTTTCCTTGCTGATAGCAGTTATCAAATACACAGTTCTGCAACTGCCAGTCTGATCTCGGTCTCTCTTCTGCTGGGGTTGTGGTAGCAATTCTGCTGGAGGTGGTGGAGCAAACTGCAGCAGGCAGCTTTCACATTCAGGCTGCATCTACTGCGTAGGTCCACAGCTGTCCCCCATCATCTTTAGAGAACAAGACAGGGGAGCTGGATCTGATCTACAAGCTGGCAGTCAAAGTACTCAAATAAATAATAAATCTACTCATTTGTATGCTGTTTTAGTTTTGCAATATAATGATACTGCAGACCTCACAACTGAACTGATTCTTATATAAAAAGTTATGGTGCTTTCTCAAGCAAATTGAAATTCTCAGACTGATCATCCATCCAAACAGATGGAGATTACTTTCATTTAGAGAGAGTGGTCACAAGACAATTAACATTTGTAAAACTGTCCAACTATTTGTTGAGTGGACCTCAACATATCCTGTTACTCTTAAGATATTTTATTTTTCAATTTAAAATGTATCAGATGGTTCTAAACAGGCAGCAGTTTTCCTTACATTACCTGTTTATTCATGCTTTTGCTATCACAGCACTACTGAAAGTGAATGACAGAGGCTTAAAAATTATGATGAAAGTGCGATAAGCCATGTACTAGATTTGCAGGCTTACCTTATGTTGACAGAAATGTCATTTTATGCCTGAGAGCCCCCCAAGAGTGGAATGAATATTTTAGGTCTACGCTTCAGATAAATGCAACAAAGTCATCATAGTTTACATAATTTAGGACTCTAATGTACTTGCATTGTATAAAACAGTTTTAGTAAAAATAAAGTCAACTATGTAAACTTACCTAAATCAGGCTTTAACTCAGTTGGCAAACTTAGCTTCCTGGACATCTTTGCTGAAAAGTGAAGTATATCTTTTTTTTAAAAAGAATAAACATGATTCTGCTGGCCTTTATTTGCTTCTTTCCCAATATTTAATATATCATTGTTTATTACATTAATTGCAGTACTTAACAGGATTTCTACTAAAGCAGAGCCTCGCTTCCACAAGGGAATGGTGCAAAGTAAAACATGGAAGATACCAAAATCCCCAAATACATAATTTTATTACTTTTGCCAAGCTTCATTTCTCTTCAAGCTTCAGGTAGAACTTGACTGGATGAACTCTGCTTTGGCTCAACCTCAAGGTTTACCACCTCAGGTGAGAGGACAGAAAACAGACTATTGGCTATTGCAAGAAGGTGCACTGAAGTTTACATAAAGTTAACATTCTATCCCCTCTTCTGCCCTATTTCCTGATCAAACCTGAGATATTTAAAATAGAAAGGAGCTGAACTTTTAGTTACACTAAAACTTTAATACACATGTGTAAAAAGCTAGTAATCTGATACACAATCTGCAATCTTAGAAGAATGATGTTACAGAGAATAATTATAAAATCAACAGCATACAAACAAACACTTGCAACACTATCAAACAAAAGATAGTATAATTTTGAAAATACTGAAGTAAAAAAATAGCACTTGAACTCACCCCTGACTTGGAAAATTCTCTTTATAGTAATGGAAATCTGGTCTATTTAAAATGCAGTACAATACTAACAAATGCTGCACTAGGAAACTAGTAGTCATACATCCCTCTTCCATCTTTCTTTCAGGAATTACTGGGGAGGGAATAATTTTGATGTATCTTAATTACTAGACCAGGGCTAGACTCTGAATTTTTTCCCCAGACAAATTCTTGCATTTTGATATACCATTTAATTCTTCACTGTCTTGTAATGGTAATACTTCTCTACCTAAAGTAGATGTTGAGAACAGCCTACTTATGGAGTACCTTGTAATGGATACCAGCCATAAAGTGGCCTTAATCTTGCTGCTTCTTTCTGCTAAAAATGGAGCTTATTCTAATTATCATTTAAAAATAAATCATTCTGTTTTCCACATATCTTGAAGAACAGCATGTGATTTAAATCTTGTTACTTCTATTCCTTCAAAAAGTGAAATACCTCACTGTATCATCAATTATGCTCATCAATACTGCAAATGCTAGTTATCTGAATAGTTGAACAGTTTTATTCCTGTCACACATTATAAAAAATTGAGAATAAGACTCCAGAAATATTCTTCTAATTTCCTTCATGTGTCAATGTTACAAAGTATGCCTTATTCAAATTAAACTGACATTACTTACTCTCAGACTAAAATGCTAGTCACTTTAACTTAGTGCAGGCTGAAACTAAAAAAGACAGACTACATGTTTTCTACCCTTACACTTGCATTCACACTGGCATGTGTCTAGCTTAATGGCAAGGCCAAAACTCATCTAAATGAAGTTTCTGCCAAGGGTTCTCAACAAGATCAACTCTTGTTTCAGAACACAGCTCAGCTATACAAGCAGAAAACCATGGTACAAAACAGCAATAGTGACCAGGAACCCATCTTTTTTGCTCTCAGCTTGAGTTTACATCAGCTTGAAAAGAGATAATGAAACCTCATCTGGATTTGTCAGTTACAAGATGGGCATTCCTCATCATAAGACTTGTTTTCTGTATTAGACACATAAATCATAAAAGCTGAAATACTGAACAAAAGCTGAAGTATGCGCACAGAAAATAATTTATCTTTGGCTTTTCACAGCTTTTACCATGTGTGAACATCTGCCATGATTAATGTACTTAGTCACTTTAAAGACCTGAGTGGTCACTTTTGGCTTTTCAAACACAAATGTTTAACACAACTTCAACAATTTGGAGAAAACTGTGTCCCATCCTGTCCCCCTGTCCCATTCCACACACCCCCCCAGATAGTAGGTAACAGAAAATATAGCAGGTAATAACAAGTAGAGCAAATACATTGGATTCTAAGAGTCAGTTCACAGTTTTAGCTTTTTGTTTTTTAGTGAAAGGCCAGCTGTGTGAACTAGGTTGATAAGGTAAAAGAAATTTGTCAGACATCATTTTCTATAAACTCTGAACTATGCCTCATTAATAGGACAAGAGGGTACATGGATTGTTAAAAAGGATGTCACTGCTAGAAATCGTGAATTAATGTGTTATGCAAAAAAAACCACCAAAAAAACATTTCAAAATGTACGTTGTATCAAAACCCTCAATAATTCAAATGTAAATAGGAAACAAGAACCTATTTAAGTAGCAGTAGTGCCATCTTGTGTTTAAAGAAAGAAGTGCCTAAAGACGCAATGAGAAAATAGGAATATTTTGCCAGCTAGGACGTTTTTAACTAATATTAATTAGTATAAAAATACCTGCTTGTATTTGTATCTGGCTTACAGTTTACAGTAATTTTGGAAAATTCAGTTTTGCTGTGCCTCAGATGAAAACCAGCAACATGCTAGACAACTACGTCACAAAAGATAAATCAGAGAAATGGAAAAGAGAGAGAACTACAGAGTGCTCAATGGCAAGATTTTTACTCCAGTTATACAACCAGGCAAAGGTGATGGTGACTGCTCCTGATAGGTGTGGCCGATCTCAAGTAGTAGCTGTCATACCAGAGTTTAAAACCTCTTTTGGTGTGGTGGTAGTTGCTGCAGCATTTACAGCCAAGACTACCCGTCTGTACCTGGTGTGAGTCAAGGAGGCAGAGACTGGGAAGCCGTTTTACTTCCTAGTATACTGCTGCTCAAAGCAACAATGACTATTTTGCCTGTGGTTACACCTACATTTAATACTCCTCTAAATCAGAAAACCTAGAGTCATACACAGGCATGCAAAGATTCTCTCTGTTGATAATATATGTAATTAAATAAGTAGCGTATAAAAGTATGATATTAGAGAACTGCCCAAAACCAACATTCAGGATTCTTTGAAGATTTCTCACAGATCAGGCTTGAGGGTGAAGGTGTTAAAATACAAAAGGTCACCGTGAACAGCATGTTATATTTCACCATAGCAGGCTCAACCAACTCCTGAAGAAAACCTGAAGGCTGAGACATGTCTAAGCTATCAGTAGGAAGCTGTGGCTTAAAAGTAATAGATACATTTTATTTGCAGTGGGTTATCCTGACCTGATACTTTACAATGTATGACACATCGGTTTGAGTATCTTCATAGATATATCTGGCAAAGCTGAAGCGTTATGTTACTGTTGCAGTCCTAGATGGGTTTTGATCCTTTAATGAAGCAAGAATCCTTGTCTGATATTGCCACTAATGATAGAAATCTGTAGAAATTAAGATGTCTCTATATAAGTTGTAATAAAATGATTAAATTGTCAACGGCTTCGTATTTCTCAATGCATGTGTATTATGTTACCACCTTACAGCCCTGTCATTACTTTGCATTCTGCAAGCAGTATTCCCTTACTCTGTTCCCACGTGACAAAAACCACAAGAGTGATATTAACAGCAACTGAAATTATCAGTGTAAATAATTCTTGTTCTGTTTTGCAATCAATTGGATAGGTTATATTTCACACATCAACAAAGAATGGAAAAAAACTTGAACCAGCTGCACTAAATGCCAGTGCAAAGAGCTACAACCATGCTACATACATCAAATTTATCCATGTGAACACAGTTAAACAATTTGTTTCATACAGCACGGTGAAGTTAATGACAGTGACACATACACTTTACAAACTAATTTTCCATTCACATTTAGTTGAAAATTCAAGTTTGAAACAATGAAATGCAAAACCATGCAACTACTAACACTGAGTAAGAAGTATTTTACTTTTGTGGAAGATCTTAGAATGTAAGTTCAGAAAGGCCATGCAGAGTAAACATGCCAGAGGTGGTGTAGAAAACATGGCAGTGAAAAATCCATTCAGTGCACAGCACAGAACAACTCAAAATTCTAACAGAGTGCAGATGAAATAATTAAGTTTCTTTAAACTTCCAATAAACTGTGCAAGTTACACAAATCACAGTATGGGCTGACTAGGAGACACTTACGAATTACATGTCAAATGCATTATTGTCTCAATTAACTCTGCGTTTAACTTACACCCTGAAGAATACATTACTTGTAAATAATGTTTAACTGTGAAAAACAGTCACAATACTTTCAGTTGAAAGTTCCAAGCTGAAACAGATGTTTAATTCTATAGAATTGTAATTAGCATGTTTTATTAATACTGTAACATTACTCTAAAAAAAGTGAAAAAAATAATTAGGTCGCATTCAAGCGTACTGTTTTTTTGCACAGGGTGTCTTAAGTTCAGAAGAGACTGCTTTGGGACAAAAGGGAAACATTACCTCATCATCAGGCATTGATATAATGCACAAGATGAAGTGTTGTTCTCATTAGAACTGAACATATGTTTCTAGTTAGACTGAATTTCCTTTAAGAGAACATATCAATCAATACTCATGTAAATGATATTTTTAAAAAAATTACAGATGAATTGATATACTGTATTATTGATAGCCATTTGCTTTCTTGAATTATATTCAAGATTCTGCTGTCTCAGAAGCCATCTTCCCTATCATTTCTGTTACCACTGAAAGGAGGGCTCAACATAGTACTGAGAAAAGGGCATATTCTTGCTCTTCCTCATTCTGTACCTCAGATTCTAAAGCGACTTCATCACACTTTTATTTATCTCATCAAATTTTGTTTCTTCTCAATCCCTGAATTGAGATGAAAGGTATTAATGGTTTAGGAGAAAAGTTAAATTCCCAAATAGCAAATCAAAGAGACACTACAGGAAAAGAAATCTCCTCTTCCCTGATCTTAACCAATGGTTCCAAACAACCTATGAAACAGTAGTATAGCAAACAGCTTTACTATATGAAGTAGTTTCAACCTTTTGATCTGACTAAAGAGCTAAAATGAAATCCTTCTACAATGACATGCTAACATACTAAATGAAAACAAAATGAACCATCAACACGGCAATTCTGAAATTAAAATAACCATATCCCAGTTAAGGAAGAAGAGTCCCTTTCCCAAAATTAAACCATACAGCCTCTTGCCTTCATTTATTTAATGATACTGTTATCAGAAGCAGAGTTAATTTCCATTCCAATCATAAAAAGGGTTCAATCTACCTGTATACAACATATTCCAAGGCAATTTCATCACCAAATTGTTAAGACAAGTCTGGAGCTGGCAGGGCACTGCGTCACTGCTAGATGCAGGAAAATAAATGCAGTTCTGGAACAGTGGTGTACTTATATGAGCAAGTCCTCTTCCAGATGATTAAATAAAAACATGATACTACCTCTATCTTGAACATAGTAACATGGAAATCTGACCATATGGCTATGAATACAACACATAAAAAGAAATTAAATCAGCCACATGTCCTCAAAGAGAGTGTACCTCTGCAGAAGTAGTGGAATAATGTTGTGACTTGCATAGACTGAACTCTTAGTACGGATTAGAATTTCACCCATCCAGAAAATAGAGAAGTGCAATTGTAGAATCAGAGAATTTGAACCACCAGTATCCTTGATTTTCTTAAAAATTGTGCCCAGCATATTTAGTAGAGAAACAGCCCACAGAATTACCAATTAGCATAAAGAATGAAAAATTAATAACTTGATGCATCAAAATTTGATTTTTATTTTGGTTTTTGCTGCTGGGTTAGTGTTGCATAGAGTAAGGCACTGGATTAGGAACAGAGCAGAATTTTTCTAGTTCCTACCTATGTCATTGGTTACCATCTTGGAAAACTTTCTGCTTTTGGTCTTCACTGTAAATAATATTTTAATAAAAAAATCAATCTGCGTGTATCAAAAGATAAACTGAAGAAAAAAAAAACTATAGAAGAGAAAAATACTGTACCCTTTTCTATAAAATTATTCATTTTTTGATCATCATCAGAATTGTTTGGTGTACCAGAACCTATGAGTGAAGACAGAATGAAATAGATATACAAACATATATCTTTGACAAACCAATGTATTAATACAACTTTCAGTTCAAGGAAGATACAAAGATGTATTAAAATATCAAATAGTGATACTGGCCTTCTCTGTAGCTGTACTAGATAAAGTCCCAATTATTTTGGTACAACAGGAATTCTGCCATATTAAGATTAACCACATAAATTATAATGCAAGGTACAATGCTGCACAGTGCAGCAAGTTTATTGCTAGAAATATTTCCCTCATTGAATAAAATGTTTACATTGAATAATTAGATTGTTGTCCTAATCATGGTTTCAGACACAAAGATTAACCTAAATTAGGACTCACAGGACACTGCTATATGAATAAATTTAATTTTTGGAAATCTATTTTTTTTCCAACACAGTAACTTGCTGTTGAGCCACAGTTCAACTGTCCTGCAGACAACTCAGAGCCAGTGCAGACATCTGGGATTTTTTCCAAATCCATAACAGTGATAAGCCTGTGGGGGCTATACACAACTTGAGGCTTACCAACATCATGAAATAAAAACAGAGTTCAACTAAAAAAATGCCAAATTTACTGGATTTTATATTGTGGAAGTGTAAAATAAGAATAGAGTGTAACCATTTTGACACTCATGAACACAAGAACTTGTCACTTTACAATGCTATACAATGTTTTATGAGTCAGATAAATGCCCCAGGAGCCTAAGCTTATTACTGTTTAATAAGTACTGTAGAAAAAGCAGGAGATAAAATTATTTCGCTTGCATTTTCACAATATTTATGTAGTTCTATGTTATTAAAACTGTAGGATACTCCTCTAACTTGCATAGATAGGTAGTCCCTTTCACAGTTCTCTCAAGTGTCTAACCACCCGCTGGAGGAAGTCTAACAGAAGTTAGCTTCCACTTCTCTTCACCTGGGCATGGAAAGGTTGAAGAGGTGGAAGATTTTGATTGCTTGTGCAAGTGCAGACTTCAGCCTTTATTCAAATATGAACTAACTTCAAAACAATCTTCTCAGATAGTCAACTCATAAATTGGAGATTGATTTCTACCTCTGCAGGATAAGGATTTTCCCCCTTAATTCTGTTCCCTTTCAGGACATTTGAGTTCATCTATACTAAAGTTTCCTCCTTTATTGATCTTCTTAAAAAAATATCTTAATTGCATACATTTTTAACCTACTTCAGCTAACACAACTCAGACAGGAGGGAGGGAAGGAGGTAAACAGAGAGAGAGGAAAGGCAAATTGTTAAATTTAGGATTTTTCCATCTATATCTTGATTTTAATCTTTAGGCTTGCTTTCATTGCACTGTTAGTGAAAATGGTGAGTTTTACTTTACTTCAACTCCGAATTATGAAAGAAATCCCATATTTCAAATTACTGTTTTAAGTTTTAGTGGTACCAGGTGGAAGTGGTTTGGGCTGACATTGCAGTGATGCTGGAGCAGGGATGAAAAAAAAAAAAGATGTAGATTAATCTGTTCATTATACACATTATACACATTTTATCGAAGTCTATCAGAAAGCAAACTTAGCTTGAACTTTAAGTGGGTGAAATTCAAATACCTTAGTAAGAATGATAATTCTCCTCTATCTTGACAGACAAAATTATTTACTCCAACTGCAGCACTGCACAGCCAAGTTGTTTACAGATATTGGTCTTGATATTTAAAAATGAAATAGGAAAAATGTACTTTATTCTAAACACTGCAAAAAATGCTTGCATTAAAAATGGTATTGAAGTTGACAAATTCAGCATGCCAATACTTAGCATTACATAGGTTTGTTATGAAATCACATCTTTTTAATTAAAATTTTCAGCCAAATTTTGCTTTAATTATAGATAAATCTACTCTAAGAAACAGTTAAGTCAAAAAGAATATTACACCAACTGATCTAGATGAATTTTGCACCATTTAAAATTAACATCAAAACAGAGCAGTTGCCAAATCAGAAATAAAAATTTATGTTAAAATTTCTACTAGAGCTACAAACAGGATATTTTATTTTGTTATGCTTTCAACTTGGCTTTGAAAGGTACAAGCTACTTTTGGAAAAGGAATCCATCTTTACCGTTTTGCACTACAATTAAAAGGGTGCTCATATTACTTTAGATACTTGAGCAAACCTGTAATTTTGTCCTTTATCTTTGAGTACAGCTTTGAATGAAACTGATAAAGTGACATACTACTTTAAAAGTTTTCAGAGTAATAATGAATATAAGCGACACATTTTTTATCTACTATGTGAAATGTTAATCTCAAATACTAGATATTGACATATACTATTATTTACATGGCTATAGCCTCAACCAGCCAACATGAAACAAAATCTAAGTAGTACTACATATTGCTGAAGCTTTTATTTAAAACTTTCACATATGGTAGTGGCAACTAAAAAAAAAAAAAAAAAGACAACCCAGGAGGGGATAGTGTTAAGTTGGGAACTCCTACTTTGTAAGGATGCCAGTTTCTGAGTCTAAAAAAAATAAAATAGTAATTTACCACTTACACAGAAGCAGAAATAAACTAGTTCTTTTTACAGAAATAATCTTTACCACTTTTGAGGACTCTGAAACACAATCACATGAACTATTACAGGAATCTGTATCTCTTATCAATGTTTCAAAGATCCCTTGTGCAGTACATTCCCTGAAGCATAAATATTTCAGATTATACCTCTCTTCACTCATCTTTAAGACATATTCCTATTGTATCTCTTAAATCAGCCTTATTTTAAAAATGCAGTTGTGCAACACAGCAAAATTTGTGACAGCTCAAACAGTTTCTGAGAAGACCACAGGTTTTATACAATTACTGAACCAGTAAGTGTTGAATTAAAGCATGCCATCTTCTGTGCAAATAACAAGCTGGAGATCAGAGAAAGTTAAGATTACCTGAAGTGGGTGATTTGCAGCGGTCTTCTGGCACCATTGTACCTTCATTAATATCACAAAGACCTGCTGAAACACAAAACCAGTGTATAATAAATACAGCTGCTATTTTATCCTTTCTTCCACTGCTGTTAGGTACTTCATTTCTTATTATCTACAAACTAGCCAGTTGTGCTAAAAAAGAAAGTAACGAATTTTAGTTCTGATATTACCCACAGTGACTGTAGAGTCACTTCTTCCTACTAAATGTTTTCCTTACAGAATACACTTCAATGAAAAACACTGTATTTTCAGCAAGACAGAATTATCAGAACAGTTAATTATTTACACACTACAGATAATATATTAAGTACAAATATAATTTCTGTTTTGAAAAAATCCTGTTTATATTAAAAATGTAATTGCACAAGAAGGATGAAATAGGATCTTGAAGATTACAACCATGTGTGCAGTATGATGTGTGAAACTACAGGGGCTTTTTTTCAAATTATTTTCCCACTATTAGTGACATGCTTTGTACTTGCTGCTGCATTGCCAAGTTTGTTTTACAGCAAAACTCCTTATTGATGTCACTTACAGAATTCTAGGGTGCTTATGAAAGTGTTCTTCCTGGCATAGAGGTATTTCACTGAATTCTTACATCAACAATTCTGATCATTTGAATAACTGCAGTATATTAATATCTAAAAGCTCAGTCCTTCCATTCCAGTGAAGGAAGTAAAGTATAGGAGTCCACAAACAGATGCCGAAAATGGAAGTTGCCTCATAAGCATCCTAAGTATTATTCTACAGCACTAACTAGAAGCATACAAGGAATTTTCCTATTATCCTTTTTGACAAGTAACTGATGTCAAGATTGTCCATGATTAAAAGTGATTTTTTTTGATATTTTAAGGCGATCTTTAATTTTAGATTTAGAGTTTTCCTACAGAAATTTCATGATGTGGTACTAACGGAAACTTAACAGTTAACAGTTAAGAAATATTTGTTAAAATGAAAGGGTTTTGCATGCACACAAATATTTCAACTAGTCAAAAAGCCTGAGAGATGTCATGGTATGACTAAGGCATCAAGGGCTTGCACATTCAAAGCCTGTCTATACAGCTGTGTACTATACACTCACTAGTACATCTGTACATATTTGTTAACAGATGACAAAAAAGTATGGGAACAGCACTACTCTTCTATCAAAGCTTTAAAGTTTCCAAATACTAAACCAGAAGTTAATCATTTAAAGGAAAAAAGTTATCCTGAAATATTCTATCAATGTGGAACACATTAGAAGTGTCGCATTCACACAGTTTCATTTATGCAAAATAGTATTTTTTAAGATTGCTAAAAGCATGTACAGCTTGAACCTCAAAACTCAATTACTAGGATTGATAATCGTGGTACGTATTCTCTAACAAGGTATGATTTGACATCTGAAAGCACCAGAGTTTTAAATATGCATGAGAGTAAATGTTTTGTACTAGACAGGGTTATGTAAAAAGATTTTTCAAAAATCCAGATGCTGCTCTCCCTACAAGCAAAACAGTTTTAGATAGTAGCAGTGCTTGGAGGACAAACCTGTGCTGTGCTTTTAGAAACATTTCTGTTTCTAGATCATAGTCATTCAGGAGCCAAACTGAATAAATCCAAACACGCTGTTCAGGAACTTAATTTCCTCTTTCCTGTAAATATTTTGCTTCTTTATCTTCATAGGAAGTGTAACTTCTCACACTAGTTTTCCTATGAAGAACGAAGCCACACACCTGCAAACTTGATTTCTTTGTAAGAAGTCTTGAGGCTACAATTTGATTAATAAACATCTTAAGAAATAACTCAGATCAGTCGATCCAACAGAAACCCCCCAAAACACTCTCTCATCATAGATCTATGCACTAATTTTATACATTAGATAAGATCTATCCCATAGAACATTACGTGTGCATTATGACAATCATGGCACACAAACCTTGGAAATCTAAGCACAGCCATCACTGCTATAATTTAAGAGAAAAAAGAAGGGACAGGAATAGATAAAAAGTAATTTTAACTATGACTGCATTAAACTAAACAGATAAGAAGAATGTTCTGAGTTAAGTCTGAACTATGAGGATCTGTCCATGACCAAAGAATCTGGTGTAACAATTGTTACTGCTGTTCATCTTAAAACCCCAGGTACCCTGATAAAAGCAGCATGCACACTGGCAGCAAGACAGCTCTCCTAGAAAAGTTCTCTGGTTTCAGGATTACATAGCATATGTGCTAATTGCTATGGATTACAAAAGCAAATTGATGCAAGAGTTGCCATTTCAACTGCAAAGAATACAACCTGCTGGAACACAAATACAAGGAAAAGTAACCTTCAAATAAGCTTTCAGCCTATGTCTCTGAACTCTAGTAGCAAGAAATTTGAAAAGCCCCAAAATGACTCCAATTACATAATGCCATTAAAGACATGAAAATTACCATGCTGCTTTCAAAACTCTCTAGAATTACAGCTGAAATTAATTGATTTACAAAGGAAGTTTCATAAGACATTTATCAGTTTTTCACATAAGCATTAGGCAGAAAAATCTCTGAATAAACTACTACTTGCCTGGAAACCAGTCCAATTAAAAATTAGAACTAGAACTAGCTTGATATGAAGATGTGAAAGGTAGAATTAGAAACAATTAACCTGTAAAACCGAGTCAAATATTCCCAAATCCAACAATCAGACTTTCTGATTCAGTTCTGGACTTGGCCTAGACACAGCTGATGTTGGTCTCGTTTAGTTGACATTCAAGCTAAACGTTCAAATAGTTCATGTCCAAAGCCAGTTCAGACAGAAAGAGGATAGGGAAAACAACTAGAATAAGCAACTCCAGAAGAGTTCTAGGCATGTATTTTCTGCAGGTTTAACTCAACTCCAGTTCCAAATCCCTTGTAGATTACATTCAATAAAGGCCATTTTTATTATATACCAAAAAAAGTAATATGCATGCAAGAACTGCTTCTATTTTGTCAGAATCCTAAACTGCCTCTGGCAGAACTAAGAAATACTAACTTATAAGAAGTTGTATTACATTGTACTAGTTGAGAAGTCACATAAGATCTTGTAACTCCCGCCAATAGTAAGTTGCAAGAGTTAAGATTGGTGTCCTTGAGAAGCACCTGATGACACTGTCTAGCAGGCCTTCACAAAACACATATACTGCATGCTTCACAAACTATAAATTACCACCCAAAACATGTGAGTAATATACCTGGTATGAATCACTGATAAATTCCAAAACACGATCCCAACTGGGAGCTTGTATCTGTTGAGCTAGCCTGAAATGACAGTTTACAGTCTAGCTAGTGTAGAGAGCCTTGTCTCTAAATAGATGCTGCTTTAAGACGGGAATCTGAATTTCTTTTCTGAGTAGAAAAAAAATAAGATGACAGAAACATACATCATATTCTTGCAACACAAGTGAAGGGAAAATCTCACATTTCCATTCATATTTCAGAAGGTAATGCAACTCTTACTCTGTGAACTTTTTGTAAAAAGGTCTTGTTAAAATTTTCAGTTGGTTGAACCAGGACATGCCATTTACTAAATTATAAATATGTAAGCAGATATTGATGATGTATTAAATAGACATTTTATGCTGGAACATACAGAATAGCAGGGTTCTTAACAAGAAAGGAACAGTTCTTACTGCCTTTTGGGGGGCAAAATCTGCATAAGTGGTTGAGTAATAGGGAACGATGTTTTCTTACACACCTCTATACTGATATTTTTTTTTTTTTTGGCTTTGCCGATATTGGAATACCATGTAAATTAACAATATGCTGCTGAGTTGCATGCTGTCTGAACCTCAATGTAATTAATCAAGAACACATCGGAATGTATGCATAGGCTAGTCCTTTTTAAAAAAAATATTTTCTCTAAAACCACATTGAATACATAAGCACTTTTTCTAGGAATATTTAGAAATTAAGTACTAATACTCCCTGAAGATAGAGCTAGAGCTGTGCAGTAGTTGAAAATGTCTTATTTGTAGAAAAAATAATTTAGATGTATTTAAATACAAACATTTTAAAGATAAGGAATTAAGTGAAGGCATATCTTTCAAAATAAAACCAAGGAAGCATATGTTTGCTGCATTTCTGAAGTCACTAAATGCTGATATTAATGGTCAAGAAAGGGACAATGCAAATCTAAAAGTGTTCTAACTCTTGTAGTTGTAATAAATATAGCAAAGGATAATTCTTTAATATAACAGACATTGTGGAAAATTACACAGTAATAATGCTCTATTATTTATGCTATTAAGTCTGGGCAACACATACATTGAAAGAACTACAAAAAATTAAAATTATTGAAGGATAACTTGAGAAATTACTTTTAGTTTTTAAGACGACTAGTTTCAGCTAACCAGGGTATTTTGTCAGGATGGTGGAAGGAAAGAGAATAACTACATGGTTAAGAAATTAACTTCTGTACAAAACCTGTTTTTACCTATTCCTAAATTAAATAGTCCAGGTAAGTTCAGCTTTACAACTGTTGGCTTCAGAAACCAGTTTTGGGACTTCTGCCCATCTTTTGCTTCCCTTCACAATATCAAATCAGTCGCAGACCCTTATTTTCAGTTCTATTACGGTATCATATTAAGGTGGAGGCATTTCTTTTATGCCTAGCTCCCTTTCTCCCTATCTTGGTTTTGTCTGGGACAGAGCTTTTTTTTTTCCTTCTTAGTAGCTAGAACAGTGCTGTGTTTTGGATTCAGCATGGGATTTGGTATGAGAGGAATGTTATGTTTTCAGTTGTTGCTAAGAAATCAAGGACTTTTCAACTTCTACCCCCTGCCCAGGTGCAAGTACACAAGAAGCTGGGAGGGAGCACAGCAAAAGCAACAGACCCAAACTGGCCAATGGAATATTCCATATCCATGTTCAGTATATAGAAGAGGGTTGACTGGGAAAAGCTCACTCACTTCCAGCATTATGATTTCAGGATTCATTCTTCCCTGGGACTGAGGGAAAGGGGAACAGGCTGGTCATCAGTCAGCAGGTGGTGAGCCATCACATTATGCATTACTTGTTTGTATTTTCTATTATTACTATTATCATTTTCTTAAATTTTTGATTAAGTTGTTTTTATCTCAACCTATAAGTCTCCTTATTCTTACCCTTCCAACTTACTCCCCCATTCCCTGGGGTGGGGGAAGTTGAGCAAGCAGCTGTGCAGTGTTTGGCTGCCAGCCATGATTAAACCGTGACACCCCCCTTAGCAGCACAGGATGGAAGACTATACAGAAAGCAATATTTGGCTATTGAGCCTGCCTTCTACCACATGTACCACTTTTTTCTTGTTCAGGGAAAAAAAAAAAGCAGAACAAGCAGAATGAGACTACAATCTTTTTTTTTCTTTTTATTTTAAACTCCAGATCATTCTGTTCTACTCTCCTTCAGTAAAATCTGGGGTGAGATTATCTACCTCTGTCCAAAGGCTAGAAAAAAATATCATCCTAGGGAAAGGAACAATGTTATACTTCTAAAAGTCAGCTTTATGTTCTTCAAGTTCTTGGATGCTGTGAATGATTAAGTCAGAGAAGCCCTTGAGTTAAACCACAGTTCTCATGAGCAACCTTCCTCTCATAGGCACCCAAGTTTCAAAACTGCTTGAAAAACCCACAGGGCTGTGCAATACACAAACGCCTCCACTCTTAATCCCTATGAAAAACATCTTTGTAGAACTAAGTTTTCATTTGTAACACATAAATCACTATCTTCTACAATGTGAAATATTATTATTCTCATTAATAATAGTAAATAAAAATTAATAATCAATTAACACTAAAATTCTGAAGCTTTCTGTGCCAGAAAAGGGACCAAGCAAGGGAAGCTTTTAACCTCAGATCTCAAAGGAACACTAAGTTTGGTGAGTAAGATATCTTGAGACTGTAGACATCAGTAACTTTTGAGGCAGGATCTCCTTTTGATATTTATTTAAAACACACAAGATACAGAGACTATGATGGTTGCTTTTTTTCCTTCAAGTTTCTTTTAAAGATGCCATGAGCAAGAAATACAATACATGGGTCATGGTTTAATAATAGCATCTAAAACAATTACTTAGAAAGGACTAACAAAAATATTTATGGTGAGTGAACGAGTTAAAAATTAAATTAAAATGTTCAAAAATATTTTATTGCCATGAGATGACTTACTTATATAAGAGGTGCGAAGCTTTTTCACAGACTCTGAATATAAGTTAGAAAGGCCGCACATGCAAGAAGCCACAGTCAGCATACCTTTATGAAGCAATGAGAAAAGGAAAGACGAAGACACTAACAGTACATTTGAGACAGAAAAGCCAGCAGAATAACTTGTATAACCAGATTTATAAAATGCTCTTGCCATGCAGATTGTTAGTATTAAAATGTAAGATGAAGAAATATATGATTTCATGTAACATATTCACAAGCAAAAAAGACTTCATTCATGAACACCTTCGACACAGAGTTATGCAGATCCAACACATTAAAACAACAAAAGCCAGGAAAACAAAGCAAGTAAGGTTTAACACTCCAAAGGGCGGTTTATAATGTAAATGCATGAAGCAAAATTTAAGCCTTTCACTCACAAGGGGAATTAACACAGTCAACCAGTAAAGTTATATCTTTCTCTCCTAAAAAGTATACTTAATAAAGTTTGGTTTTATTAGAGGAAAATATTTTATCTGACCGGATACAAACTGTGCATGTTCTGCTCCACATTAATGATTTTTGGACCGATTTCCTCAGTGAAATAAGCTGAATGGTGCCAACCTGGATCTTTCTCAAACCAATGATTTATTAAAACACATCTTACAGCATTCACTTCAATTGAATAAAATATTACCTAAAGAACTTACCTGGACTTTATTCTAAATCAAAATAATGCAATCAACACTAAAGCAAGAATTTTTTTGAACAGTTTATTTCCTATTGAAAAATAATAATTTGGGGTAGCAGTGACATTGTTCATCATTCTGTCTTTAGCCATTTTCCAAATTAACTTAAAAGTATCCACTACATAATGAGGAGGAGAGAATAATCTAAACCCACTAAATTCTTTTGGCAGTAAAAAACTTGGCATTTTTACTGGGAAGTCACTTTCCTCCTCAGCTGCAAAGGAACAACCTTCTTCAGTATATTTTTAAATCAAAGTCCATTTTTCAAAAGATATTTATTTTAGCAGTTTATATTTGTCAGTTTGTTTGGTTCATTCAAATCAAAGGCTTCCTCTCAAGCATAATGTAACAGGATACACAACATAACATGCTTTAGCCTGTCAGGGACATTTCTAGACAAAGGTTAAAATAGGAAGCCAAAAGATCCCAGCAGATTAGCTATCTGCAAATATTAATGGGTTTATACAAGCATGTGTTATGGGTACTAGGTTTACCAGAAATACCATGATACTTCTACTTCATGCTGTGTTATTAAAATCTCATAAACTGCATAAATCCTTTGTACATTTATACTTATATCTATTCACACAGATAGTGTTTTTCCATCTGTTTTTTTCTGAAAACGTACATTAAACTGAAGAGTAAGTAATGGCATCAAGCATCAGCAGATTCCACTAAGCAACAGTTTTCAAGAAAACATGAAGTAACAAACTTGCAATAATAACATTAGAGACAGATCAAGAAAAGGATGGAACCACAATGAAGAGTATGCTTGTATTCAAAGAATACACACTAATAGCCCAGATAAGCTCAGAAGAAAGGCACCGTTGGCTAAAACGAGTTTTGGGTTACTCACCTCCAGACGGTTGCCGAGTTTTTCGTGGAGACCGTGGCTCCCTGCGATAAGGATCATTGGAGCCATACAGTTCAATAGTGCCTAGATTCAAAAGCACTGTCTTCTGGAGGTAATCAACCATTGCAATACCATTACAGTTTCCAAAAACTACTCTGGAAAAAGAGAAGTGGAAGGAAAGATAGTGCTAATCAAAAGTTGGTAAAGTTTTATATTGGCATTTGTTGCTATTCAGACTTCCTAATTTTTAGATTAAGTCATAAATTACACATATTTATAAATAACTGTTTTAGAATGCAGTATTAATTGTTGTCTTGTAAAAACATGTGACACCAAGTAGAACAGATCATCGCTGTACTTGCCAACCTATCTGACAGAGCCTTACATGACACTTATTCTTGGCTGTACAATACCAGGTGAGGAAGAATGATGCCGATTTGTTTATGATGTTAGCACCATCTGGATCTGCCATGACCCGAAAAGAATATCTCTTAGGCACAGAAGGCTGATTGCCTCTCTTGTGTTGCTGTGCAGCTCATGTGAACGCACATGAAGATGTGATTTTTAATAGATAATTTTAAACCAATTTAATAGAATAATGAGAAACCTCTGTATAATATACTTACAGGCCATACGCTGAGTTGACTGCTAAGCTGGTTATCTGTTGAGGAGGTTCTCCACTCACCCATACTAGCTGGATAACTAGCTCAATTTGGTAGCCTGGAGACTGCTTGAGAGGAGAATTTTTAACTCTACAAAGTAAACAAAACATGGTATCTTTTTATGACACTCCACAGTCTCCATTTATTCCTTATGGGCCCAGGGTTCAGTAAATTGTACAGCACGCTGGACTTCAGAAAATTGGGAAAAAAAAAATAAATCAACACAAACACATAAAAGCAACCAGAAAAAAGCCACACTGAAAGTAATCATTCACTTCTTTAAAGACCCTTTTGATTCATTACCTAACTGAAAATTCATTGAGCAATGATCACAAACATTTCATATTTCTCCCCTCTTCAGAGCAAGGCATAACTGCATTAGCATGCTGTACTGATGTGAAAAGTAATTCAGTGTCTAACAGGAAGCAATTACCCATGTTTTGCAGAGTTCCCAGAAGAACTCTGATTTAGAGACCGGAAAGGGGTGAGGGTGAACGTCGAAGAAGCGTACCGAAGAGGGAAACAGATGCACAATGTATTGAGCAAACAGAAAGCTAATGATATTGTATAAACAAAATGAAAGCAAGGTAAATAATTTTAATGATAGGTCAGCTGTATGGAATGAACCTGGGAGTGGGAGAATTGAAGCTCCTTGAAAGATTTTATTTGCATGCTGATGCACAAACTTATGAATGTCCTGCAGGTGTTTCATCTTTTAAGGTGAAAAACGTTACATAGAACATAAGCTCCTCTGGTTCCTGAATTCCTATTTTACCACCCATTCATTCTCATTAATGCATGTTTTGGTTTACCAGTATTTTACAGTAATGCAGAATTTTCCAGTTTTTCTACCTCATCCATTTTTCTTTAAATGGATTTTGATACTTCTGCAATGCAGTACAACCGATAAGATATAAGAACTCCCACCTGGAGAAATAACCCCATCAGAAATTAGTTATTTTCGGGATGGATGCACTCAAAGAATTAAAATCCAAGTTGTGACCCTAGAACTTGAGAAAACATTAAGTACATACATATCTGAAAGTGAAATTCAATGTACATTTTCTACAGAAAAGGCAACGGTCCAGAAGCCACGTAATGCATGCTTGTAGAAGAATTAAAAAAGATTGTTGTCTTAACTTTCACTTCTCAAATGAGTAAAAGAATAAGTAAGAACAAGTAAACAGAATATACTTACTTTAAACATGGGACATTATCACGAAGTCCATCAGATGAACTGCTACTAGTAGATGGATGAGACTGGGGAACAATGGATTGAGGATTGGAACCTGTGCCTGGAGTTGGTAAAGGTGGCACTTGCTCACCATCTGGAGATTCAACATCATTTATTTCATATAACAGACGTACTTCCAGCATCTATACATTAAAAAAAAAATATCAGTAAACTCTGCCTTTCAAAAAACTAGATATGGAATAAATGAAGTGCAGTTGAAGATACTACTGATAAAAGTGACATCCAGGACTTTCATCTTTTAAAAGATAAAAGTAGTTTAATATACAGTGCAACTTAAACACTCACATGTAGCCTTCAGAAACAGTCATACTAACTACAGACTAAATATCTGAAGATTGCTGAAACTTGAAAATCTAACCTATTTTTCAGTATTTAAAAGTTTGCTGCTTAACATTGGGAAGAAATATAATGGAGACAAGATCCATTTAATTATCATTAATTATCTGTGAACATAATAAAAGTTATGAAGATAACTTGTTTTACGCAGTTCAGGACTGCTAAAATTAAAAAGTGAAATCACATAGCTATGCTTTATACTGTCATAACATTGTACACATGGGACTTAGTTCAATGTTGCACTGAATGAGAACATACATTTTAAAGAACCATAAGTTCATCATGATTTCATATTTTCTGCTGCTGGATCTCTAACACTATTAGTATTAATTTTAGTGCAATGTAAAGAAGTTTTTCCACTTTCTTTTCAGAAAATGGAAATTACAGAAGATTCTCATCATCTGCAAAGTAGAACAACTCACGGACTGAAATTAAGAATTCTACAGTATTGTTTTATTTCTAGTACTGAAGAATAGTTTACTAGGTGTTGATTTGTAAAAATCATTTACATATTTCCTCAGAAGAGAATGTACCTGTACATAAGTAAAAACCAGAAGGAAAAAATAAGTCTAAATAAGTTTAAAATAAGTAAAATAAATAAGAAAAAAGAATAAGTTTAAGGAGATGAGGCATATCTGAAGGAGTAGAGTAAGAGGCAGAAAAATTAAAAAACCCAACTACATTATGATTAATGCTGTACTTAGAATATACATTTTATAATTAAAGGGCTTCAAGTTAGCTTTCAGCTCATACATTCAGATAAGTAAAGTTGCACATGTGTGTTTGAGTTCACAAAGGACTTCTCAAACTACTGTAATAGAACTTGCCATTGTACCTTAAACAGAATAAAACAGTGACACAGCAAAGTCCTTAACAGACCTCGGGGCACATCTGTCACATTTTTACTCTTCTAGCTCTGCATACTGCAGAAGTCTTGCCAAGACAGATGGTAATTATTAGGAATCAAGGAAAAGAGAGGAATCAACCCCCCTGAAAGCTTTGAAAATTCTTCAACTTGACATCTCATTCACTTCTGTGTTCATTTTATCTTTGATACAGCCAAGTTTAGATCCACCATTTCCTTTGATTGATACAACAATTAACTATTATTGGCTGCAAAACCAAAAAAAGCCAATGAAAATGCAAATCTTGGTGTGCAATTTTTACTTTTGCTGGGATTTCATAATTTATTAATTTTCCTCCACAAAAATACATCTCCTTATTTTGAGGCAACTGTTTTTGTTCATTTCACCAAAAAAAAAAAAAAAAAAAAAAAAAAAAAAATGAAGTAAATCGTTACAACAGTTTTATAACTAAATCCTACAAAGTTAAAAAATGGTTATACTAATTACCGGAATGACTTCTGCTGTCACTTCCTGCTTGCTGAACCTGTAAATAATGACATGTGCAGACACTCCAGCTATGCACAGCATTCTACTTTCTGGACACCATGAGATGATCTGAATAGCATATGGATCTTCATCTACTATATCTGTGTTTGGCCTGTCATCTTTATTCCGTGATTTTTCAAATACTTTGGCTGTTTTTAGCTTATAGAGTACTTGCAGCGTTACTAGGAACAAACCAGAAGAGATAAAAATTAGTTTTGATCTAAACAGGTATTTTCTTCTTTTATTTTAGAAACTTCTCTTCATAGACAAAGATACTGTATTCCACAAACGAGTGCAGAGTAGAAGTACTGAGCATCTGTGTTGACTCTGCCTGTGCAGTGCACCACTTGCACAATGCAGGATCAGTTAGTATCAAAAAAACCCCACAACACTTCTGAAAGACACATACTAAGCACTTCAGTTATAAACTAAGTCCTCACAGCTTCTCAAGACTTAACTATACTTAAGGATCTCTTTATAACATATATCTCTATGTATCTAGTTACATATGCCATACCTACAACTCATGCCTATCTATGGCCGAGAAAGTGAAGCTCCATTCCTTTTTGCTTAGAGCATTTCAAACCCATGGCTTCTCACCTGTGTTCTCAGACTTAAACCCAGTTTCTCCGATTTTATCCTGTCTGATCATTCAAAGCACTGCCCTCCGATCAGTCAACATTTTTCTTGATACCATGTTTCCTAGAACTGTTGTAGTGAGGCCCTGCCATAGTTTAAAATTGTGGAAGAATTGTTCCACGTTGATTTTATAGATGTTCACACCTATTTATCCCAATGATTTTGATTTTTTTTGTGCAACACTTGACAGTGCAAGCCATTAGACCTGTAATTTTTTCTTCCAGAATGTAGTTCTGAGTGTAAATCATTGATAATATATTCAAACAGATTGTCTAGGATGCTATTCAGGAATTGGCAATATCATTCCCAGCTGTAATTCTAATTCTTTTTTACATTTTCTTTTAACTGTCTTAGTGTTGCTTTGAAACTTCACAAGCATATTCTCTAGTCAATGGCTCAAATCACTGCTATGAACATTAATCATATCATTAGGAAAACTTATTATAGCATCCTTTCTCCTCTTCCATATTTCAGTGGTTTCATCTGAATCACACTTCCCTAGTTCATCTCTAACACTGTGCTATAAGAGAGATTTAAGAGTTTTTAAAGCAAGATACAGGATACTTGCTGTTTCTCCCTTAACAGGTTTATCTGTTTTAGAAAGAAACTAAATGTCTTTAACAGGATCTCCTTTTGACAGATCTATGCTGAATAGAATTTTTAATCACACGCATTCAAACTGAGTGTGGTTGGCTCCCCCCCCGCGTTGGTTCCACCCCCATCCCAAACTGAAATTAAAGATTTATAACACTCCAAATACTCCTCCTCCCAGTTTTTAAACATATACATTGCATCTGTTCCCTCCCACACCCACAAACGCCTTAGCATTTTGGAATCTTACCAGTCTTCCACAAGTTTTCAAAGACAACTGATAATGATTCAAAGATTGCTTCAGGCAGCTTTTAAGTACCAAGAGTAAGGTTAGTCAGAACTAGATTAATTAAAACATCTACCTCTGTAGTCCATTCTAATTTGAATTCTTACTGCATTTTTCACTGTTAGCTGTGTAGACCATCAAATGCAGTTGACCCTTTAACTGAAATGTAGAACGGTATCAGACTCTTGAGGCTTATTCAGTGTTCCACCAAAGAAAAGTGTCTTTATTTTACTGTTCTCCTGTCTTTCTTCACAAATGCCTAGATCATTTTATTAGCACAAACTACTACTGGTTCCAATTCTCATTTTTAGATACTGTAATTTATGGGGAGCTGATGTCTTATAAACACATGCCTCTCTCCTGTCTAAAAAGACAGAAATAACTTACTGAAATTCAATTGTACCAAAAAGGAATGCATTTGCCTGTTACGCATCTCTGTGCTCAATAACGTGCTTCTGAAGGTACGTCTAAAAAATTTTAGAACTCTTCCATTCTGCTGACCTTTGGACTACTAGTGAATTTTCACTGAAGTGGTAAAAACAGTGAAACAATTAACTAAGAAATAATGTTAAATTTATTTAATTTTTATTCAAAGTTTCCTATAGACTTACTGACTCTACATGAGGCAGGAAATAATGATAATGACTAGTCTGCAATTATATTCAATTAGAGAAATCAGTAAGTTTAGATAAATCCTACTGCACAGGAAAAAATCTCTACTGAAAACACTTACTTGCTGAGGCATCCCAAAACTTGATTGACCCATCAGCATGCCTATGAAATATTAAAAAATTAATAAGATGGTAAAATGGTTAGTTGGAGTGTTAGATCTCTATGCTACTGATTAGAAAATATATGGCTAACATTCTATTTTTATTAGAATTCTTAGTGACACTATTTTCATGATTTATTGGAAGCCCGTATTTTACAAACATATGCCCCAATTACTTTGGACAAAAGGGATTAAAAAAAAGCATTTGAAGGTTAACTCTCTGAAATTCCATTGCACTAATATGAATTTACCATTTAAAATACTGATTTCAGTTACCTGCATTTCCCATAAGCAGTTTGATATACCTTACCATGTGTTGTTGCTTAAAAGATGCCCTTTATTTGGAATGACACTTGTAAAGGAGATGCCTAAATATACTATATTTCAGTGTAAATGAGTCACCTAACTTGCTCATTTATCCCTGAAATTGAAAATCAGATGACTAGTTTTTTCAGGACTGTCTCTCAGAGCCTCTGCAACGTGTAGTATAAAGTGATAGTAATTCTCATTAGGGCTAATGGACTATTCTAAAAAAAAAAAAAAAAAAAAAAAAAAAAAAAAGGTTATAAATCAAATTTTGTTTATGCCTCTCAGAATGGTATTTGAAAGATCAGTCTCCAGTGACAACAAAATGAACAGACTGAAGGATTTATGTTTTTTGAAATAAAGAACTTGGCTTCCCTTTGAGAACTGAACTCAATAACTATTTAATGGATTTCCTATGCTTTATAACACTACTCACCTATTTTCTCAAAGTTCAAGAATAAAAGATAAGTTTCATCCAGGATATATTGACAGGAAGCACAAAAATCACAATACCACACAATAATAATCCTTGTAAAACACCTGCTATTATTTTGTTCCTACCTTGTCTTCCACACTTTGATTTATTTCCTTGTTAATGCATCAAGATTATGATGCAAATGACTTGTCTGGTGAACATAATCTTTTAAATCATTCCAACCACTCTTAGAACACTGTTTTCTATAAGAGGAACAAAATATTCTCACTTCTGCTTCATCAGCTAAGAAAGCTATACTACACTATGGTGTCACTTACCCTGTAATAATTATCTCTGGATAGCTCTGAGTGATCAAACCCCAGTTGCCTCCACTGATAGGCCATTCCTGGAAGATTAACAAATACACTGAGGAAGAAAATATCATACAGTGCAATGTTAAGCCATTGAAATTACTGCAGACAGTACAGATTCCAGTATTTCACATGACTTCACAAAGTAATTAGACATATCCACTGCAGAGGGAAAAATAAAAATAAAAAATAAATCAAGAGCTATAAACACCTCTCCTGCTCCAGAAAATCCCTTAGCTTCCAACGACAGCAATCGATGGGAGCACGTCAGGAAAGCATGACTATAGGTTTGACATATGCTATATCCTCCCTAACCACCTGCTGTTAGACAGTGTCAACAACAGGATAAACAAGTCAGATGGAGCTTTAGTCTTAGTATGGCTACTCACGCTGCTAAAGCTACTGATTTTCAGTATTTTCAAATACATATGTATGTACCAGATGTTGTACCTTCTTACTGTAACCTTGACGTTTCTGTCGAGCGCCAACCGAATAGAGGGCAGGTATGAGGTCCACAGGACAATCAGCAAAATATTCACAACAGGTAACTGGAGATTCATGTATAGTCAAAGGATAGGGATTCTCAAATATAGGGTACCTTTAATGGATGAAAGGGGAAGACTGTTAATCTAGGAATCATTTTTAATGCACAACACAACTAACACACTAAAGACTAATTTTGCGTTCTTCTCCTACAGAGAAAAATAAATGCATATCAAATTAGATCATGAACAAATATACCACGCAACTTCATTGCTTATGCAGTACACTATCAAGATACTGTAGTACTCTAGATGGAACCTGAGGTTTGTATTATTTCTGGAATATTTCTAGAATACCGTTACTCCCTATAGTCTTAAATTTTTAAAAGGTTACTATTTTAATGGCCTGTGGGAAAAACTGAATTCAAGTCCTAATTGCAGTAATGTGGAGATAGGAATTTATTTCTAACTCTTCAGTCTATTCTTCCAGGAAGAAAGACAGGAAGACTCCACTTTTCACTCTGTATTATTATATTGTTCTTAGAAAACTGTCCAGCCCTTTTCATGACCTACATCCAACTTCAAAGTCACTACTTTCAGGAAAGTTAGACAGCAACACTCAGTTACCAAATAGAAGCAAACACACACACACTCCCCACCACCACCTCCATCAGAGAAGTGGCAAAGCCTTAATGAGGAGAAAAAGCCAATAGAGTAAATATATGTGTTCAAAGAATGTTTATCTCCAGAGAAGTGCATACGATGAATATGGGGTTTTTTTTCCCCTTTTTTTTTTTTTTTTTTTTCCCCCCTCTGAGAGGCAAAAAGGGACAGAGCTTCTCAACCATCTAAGGGAAAAGTTAGCAACAACAGATGCAAATGTTTTATATACCAATAGCTTTACACAGATCTGTTTGGAAAGCTAAAACAATCTTCTAAAAAACTGAATGAAGAGGAGGCTTAGTTTTAACAAAATATGATAAATCTAGATGACAGGACAGGGCAAAAGAAAATCCCCCAAAGCAAAAAAAATCTATTTTGTTGCTTTTTTCAGGTGTGAAACAATATTTTGCAAGTCAGTCATAATAAAGACTATTGTAGGTCTAATAAAAACATAATTGCTGTAGATTTTTTTAACATGAAATGGAACAACCCTTAACATAACTTCAAATTTCAGACACTGCAAACTATTTCACTTAAAAAAAGCCTTGTACAAACCTTTTTATTTTAAGCTCTTTAAAACTTGTTTTATTAATCTTTCAACATATGAATGTTGGAAGCTTAATATCACTGGTATATCAGAAACAAGTTTTGGATACAGCATATGGCCATGTAATATTGGGAAAATCTAAATGAAATTGCTCAGCAGCTGCCATGATACTAGGACTAGACTTGACCTTCCTCCAAATTCACTAGTCTTCATTATCTAAGATATCACCATTGACTTTGAGGATACGTATTTATGGGTTTCTGTTGTGCCCTAGAAGGATGTTATTCATAGGATTTTTTTCTTCATTGACCACTGGTAACTTTTAATCAGGAACACAAAGCCCTTACCCATCTGGTTCTCTGCTACTAATCCTGTCATAGTTAGTTGTTACTGCCTACACTATTTTCAAAACCCTTGATAAAAATTTGTAGGATGCAGAATTTTTTATCACCACCTAATAGAGTATACAGACTGTTCTATGGACAAAATAACAAGAGACTCAGAATGTGTTAGCCAAGTATTACTCGTGAAAACTGTAATAGGATACTACTTATAAGCAACCTCTTACTGCAGTAGTAAACCAGGGAGTAGATGTTACTATTCTAACTTCATGTATATGATAGCTATTGCATCAGTATTTAGTCGACTTAAGCAACTCAGGTAGCAATTCCTTTGGCAATAAAATCAACAAATATTTGTGTGATGACATCAGTGTCAGCCAAAACTACCTGGCTTATCTGAACAGTTGTTCCCCTTGCTCTCTTCCCCAAAATTACAAGCTCTCCTCATAGCACTAATGAATCAACTTCAAAATAAACTGTGATAATTAAAAAGCAGCAGTGATCTACGAGTAATTTCTGTCAGTCAACCAAGCCTGGAAAAAGCCACAGAATATTCTACTCATCTACTACATATTAACTTGAGAAATGTTGATCTATAAAGATTTTCAGCTCTGCTGAAGAAACCTTGTATTTAATATTCAAGATTTTACGTTCTGGACAGGGAGGTATTATCATACATTAAAAAGCTATAGAGCAGAACAACAGGCTGATCACTGCAGCCAACATTAAAAAGACTACACAAGACTCTTACCCATTTTGTGCAAGGTCAATCAGTACTAAGTCCTTTTCTAGAAGAACAACTACAGCATATGGTTCCTGAAAATCTAAAAACAAATAAGAAAAAAAAATTATTTACTAGTAAATGTAGTTCTTGCATTCATAGCCTCAAGAATATGATCAGTCTTTGCACTCTATCAGTTGAGAGTAGGAAAGCCACTTAAATGACTACATTTTCTGAAGATATTTTATACACTCATCCCCTGAATACTCCAAGTAAGTCTGGAAAAGCCAGGCTTCCCCTCTAGCCCAATATTCTCAACTCTATTTGAATTTACCAGAACAATTTAAACAGCTCAAATAACAGGAAAAGGAATATGCAGAGGAACTTATATAAGCAGTATTTTTAAGAAAGAGCCAATTACTGAACAATAACATCTTCCCACGTGCAACTTGCTTTTCCTTATATTCAGTGGGGTTTAAATTCTAATTGATTACAAAATGAATGGAAAGACAGCCAGCCAACCTGACACTAAAATAAGAAAACTGAACGAGTTTCCAAAGTTTATCTTGCCCTCTTTCAGGCAGACATCAAATTCTGAGCTAAGCAGTTTTACATACTATGATGGAAGTTGACAGCTAAAACCATTGGAGTCATCAGCAATTCAATACTGTTAATCTGGAACAACTAACTAAACTATGATTAAAGATCCTCTTCTGCAGAAGAGGGATTACAGGTTAGTGATGAACTTCATGTGAATATTGGAATGAAGTCACTGAAAGTTAAGAGCACCACACAATGCTACTCAAGATTTAGCATTGACTGGAAAGGTCTTATGTGCTCAAATAAATATTGATGAACACATCTGCTGCAGTAACTACACCTTAAAATGGTAATTCTATTGGTCTGCACATGCTTTTGCGATTAAAAAAGGAAAAAACATGTAACCAGTAGTCTGCATTCTTCTGGAAGCAAAATAGGTTTTATAATAAGCTATTCTATTACAATGCTTCAGGCAGTAAAACATACTTCAGACAATAGGGGTAACAGATGTTGCTGCTGCAGTCTGATCCCCAGAGATAAAACAGAAAAGCATATTCTGATGGGATAAACCTCCAGAGAGAAGAGGTTGAAGTACTGAGAAAAAAAAAAAAAAACAAAAAAAACCCCACCAACAAATTTACAGAGCCTACCATTAGGATATGGTGTTTCACAGAGGGTTAGAAAATCAACAATAGAATAATCCATTTCTAGCACAGCAGTACTTTTCCCATGCATAACTGTTAAACAGGGTCTTCTTCCTACAGTGTCATATGACAAACCTCCTGAGAGAATGATGAAAGGCTCCCTGGAATAAAGCAGAGGCATTTAGGATCAAACCAATACAATATATTAAAAGAGACTGGACAGTTTTTGTAACCTTATAATAAAGTTCAATGAGCTGTCATTGAGCAGAGATACATTAGGAATAAAGCAAACCAGCTCTCCATGCAATGTGTAGCTTGGGTACATGTTTCAAAACTTAAAACCCAAGAGTTAGAAGACTGTAACTGAAGTCAGACATCTCTTCTAAACCTTTTGTTCTATAATGCTTATTTAACCAATCTTTGCAACTGTTTGGCAAGATTTTTTTTTTTTTTTTGGTTTTGTTAAACTTTAGAATTGTTACTTTTCAACTGAACTGCAGATTCAGATTTGCCAACAGCCCCATTTATCTAGAATATAAAATATTCCAGGAGGACCAGGAAGAAATAGTCCCATTTATTCCCTGTACAGAATTACCCTGAATTTTGAAGGATGAACAATTTTGCCAACAGTGTAAACTGATTTTGCAGTCACAATAGTATGACTGTCTTTAAGAAGAAACCAGCTGCTTGATAAGCTTCAAAGACCTAACATCTTTTAAGAAGCAAGTACATAAATAAATGCCCATAAATCTAAATGGCTGAGTATAGCAAAGCAAAAATATTTCTCCTAGTCTTAAGAGATTAAAGGCTTCCCTTCAAAAATTTAAATCTTTACAGAAGCATGCTTTTAAATACTTCCACATTTCATACATTTATTGAAAAACAAGATTAGATTAAGTAAATATATTATTTTTACTAGGTATTGTCTTCTTTCCCGATTATCAAAAGTCATACTCATTTTAATACTATTAATATTTAAAATAGGTCATAATACCTTTTAAAGATCAAACTGACTGTTTATAATTTCACCCTTTATTGACTATTACCTCAAATTCCAGGTTATGTTTTTGGAGGAAAATAAGCAAAATGTGAAATTCCTCTGATCTACTTCTATGCTCACTTTAGGTAGCAATCCTACCCTTTGTTTGTGTCTACCTTGGAAGCAGCTAGTGTGTCAGTATCTGGAGAAAAAGACCATCTTGACATACTGTGAAAAAGAGGCTGAAGAGATGTGGGGTTTTTTGTCTTTCGTATAACAGCATCTTTCCCATACTGTCTAAATGGCTTTCACTAGTTAGCATTTAAAACACAAATGTGACAGATTAGGTACATCTTACATCCTGAAAACTTTGTATGAAGGGTTTAGTTTATGCACATGCTGCCCTTCATAAATTTAAGGCTTGGCTGAGATGTGCTCTGTGCTTGTAAGACTGAAGGCAAAGCAGACTGGGATAAGCTTTCAGTTTCTACAATTATTTCACAATCTACCTGATCCTTCAGAAAGCCCTATGACTGAAGAGTTGATAGGATCAAAGAGTTCTGTTGCCCGAAGAAGTAACCTCAAAGAATGGCCATAAATTAGACCATGAGTCCACCGTGTTCAATATCCTGCCTCCAACAGTAGCTGAAAGTGTATTTCTAGAAAAGGAGTAAGTTTTCTCCAAGTTTTCATTTAATTTCAATTCTTCATACTGGAACTTCACACAATCGTCCATGGTCAGGTCCATGAAGTGATTTCAGGAAAAGGACTAAATTTAATTTAACCTGATATTTTTCAGGATATCAATGAAGAGAAAAACACTAGAGTGATGTACTTGCAGTATCTCATTGTGCTGGAATGATTTATTGCAGTATTTTTTGTTTACACAAAATCATTATTTTTTAAAAATAATAATGCTGCCAGGACAATTCACAGTAATTAGACTTGTGGGTTAAACCAAGATCAACTGACAGTAACAGAGAGACAAATTTCAGTTTCTTAGTTTCATACACCATAGTAAAAACTACATGCTGCTTTCTTCTGTTTTTTTCAAGGGTAATCAGATTGCTTTGGGCAGACTTGCCAGAGTCTGTATTCTTATGAAGCAAAGAATGGAAGAGCTAAAAATATATTACACAGATCTGTCACATGGGTTTATCACAGATGAATCAAAGATTAAAGTTGACTTTAGTCCGCCAGAAAGATTAACACAGGTTTGTGTATGAACTTTTAATATTTTCACGAAACCATGGATTTACCCTGAATGTAATTTGTGTGTTTTTTAGATACTTAGTGTTACCCTTCAGTTGTGATACATATTAGGTTAGTGCACATGAATGTTAGATAGAAATGTGTCATTTAAAATAAAAAATTAAAAATATTGTACTTCACATAAGAGATGAGATTGATCCTACTTTGATAGTTACATTTCATCTACCTAAAGCAATGGAAAGCATTTAAAAAGCAGTGCTCAGCTCTTAGAGAATTGCTATGTAGCATTTTTAGCAGCTGCAAATACAGAGATTCCTCTGAAACAGTTCTACTTCAACAGATTTGGAAGTAATCCCTTTACATTAATTGCCTCATCAGTTAAATCTGTAAGATCACTTGGGGAACACTATACAAAATTTACTACAAAGGAGGACAACATTTCATTGAAAAGAATCCCAGAAAACACAGGATTAGGTTTTACAGTGTACCAAAACATAATACAACTGAGAGCTGAGTGGCTCTCAAACCTGGAAGATGTTTCTGCTCAATTTTAGAAGTAAACGTCAAATGTCAGACAGTTTCTGGCAATCAGGATGTGTGAGAAAAGTATATTAAAAAGTCAGGCCATTGGTACCAGTACTTTTCAAACCATGGGTGAATTTGTCAAGAATTTAATGCCAAGTAATAAAGGTGGAAAATACTTTAAGGGTTAATTTAGTTTAAGACTAGAAATCTTGAAGTAGTAGTGAAGATAAGTTGGTAAGTGTGATTTTTGAACTGAAGCTCATACAACAAAATAGTACTATTCAAACTAAACACATGCAATAATAATGATGTAACCTCTGGGTCCCAGTTATATACATGCATCTTGCTAAGAGGTACTGCTCTACAGTTAGTCAATGAAAGCTGCATTGAGTACCAAGACAATACCCTTTTTGATTATGTTTTACAGGGAGACTTTTGAGCTTTAATTTCTACTACATAGAGGTCTAATAGCAAAGAATAAACTTGGGCTATTTTACCATAAATGCTATTATCAACCAGAGTAAATAGTATAATGGACTGAATCTGGAGGGGTGGGAAATGGCATTAGGAAGCTCAAGAGCTTCTCTAGATTCACTTTAGACAGAAACGTATGCAGAAAAGGCAACAGGGAAACTATTTCAGCAAGCTCAAAAGGTAATCTACCTTTGGAACTCATCACTTCACAAAGAGATGGAGTATTTTAGATGAACTTAGGTGACAGAACAATAACATTACACCAGTTTGCTCAAGGAATATACCAAGACCTTGCCTTTTCAATCCCCTATCTCAGGTACAGGACTACTGTGAAAAGTAACCTTTCTACATACATTCTCCCAGAAATAAAGCTACAGACATGCTATTGTAAGGCAAACAATTCTCACTTTGGAGACTTCAGAAGCACTCTATCTGCAGCAGACTTAACCCCCCCCCCCCAAAAAAAAAAACCAACAAACCAAACAACAGAAAAGCCACAAAATGAAAATTTAAATAGGTAGTCTGTAAGAACCACAGAAAGCCTCAGTCCTCCTGTCTCCCTGACTTCAGCTTCACGAAATGGAAAACATAATGGAGGAAAAAAGAAGTGAGAATAAGAGCTGCAACAGTAGAAGGAATAGCATCTGTAGCCCCTACTACAGGCTGCTATCAGTTATGTTCCTTCTGTGTGGTTCTAGACATCTTTTCTCAAAAAAAAAAAAAAATTAGAATTAGAAGCAGTAAAGAAAGCAAGTGACATCACATCAATGAAGCGTTTGCCACATAAGGAGATACTGAAACGAACCTAGATTCTAGATCACTCTGAATAAGGCAGGAGCAAGAAAAAGTTGACAAAGATGTTAGATTTCCATATAGCGCATGGAAAAGCGAACACGGAATAGTTACTTTTTCACAATAAAGAAGTGAAAACTTATATACATTAAACAGTACCTCTTAAAATATGTTGTAAGCTTTTTGGTTTTTCTTTGTTTTGTGGGGTTTGTTTGGTTGCTTGTTTTTTAAGAACAGTTAGAGAAGACTGCTATAGAAGCAAGTCTGATTTGTTTCTTATATTATTTCAGTAGCTAGAAAAAATTTGGTCTGGTCCAGGAATGATTCTCCCCTGTGCTATAGAAATTAAGCCACAAACATCAAATGCTTTAGCAAAAAGTCAAAATTGTATCATGTTCATACCTACTCAATTTCAGTTGGTAAGGAGAAACTATCAAAATTTTAAGCGCTGAGAAGTAATTTTACCTTGCCTTAAAATTCTTGTAATAATACAACTGAAAATTAAAGTGTGAACTGAAGTACATGTAACAGTAAATGAATGTAGATTCAGTGCACTGCTGCACAACCACAATGCCAAGCAGGTTCTTTGTGGTGTTGTGTTTTTGACGTTTTTTTATTGAAGTTCTAGAAGACTATCACAATAGTTATAGATTTAGAAGTACACTGAAGATGGAGAAAACATTAGAGAAAATATTAAATTGAAATGCATCAAAATAGTCAGATTGGATGAACACTGGAAAGTGAGAGGTGTAAGATAAAACCAACACTAGGGAAAAAGTAGTCTCTCCACAGAGCTATTTATTCTTATAAATTATATTAGAATAAACTTCTCTTTAAACTGTGAAAAGTCAACTAGCCTTCACATTGTAATATTGTAATTGCATAGAACAAGCTTCGAACTAATCTTTTCCTTCAGAATGACTATTCATAACAAAGTTTTTGATTGCAGAAATTGTAACTTGCTGAAGCTGAGACTACTTTTGGTTATCTTTCTTTAGATCAGCTTTAGCCATTTTCTGTTGAGAAAGGAATATGCAGACAGATGTAGACTTCTGAAAGTAAAGTATGGCTTTCCAGTTATCACAGATGTGCATACATCTGGGAATTAGCCAGTCTTAAATTTCTATGTACCTCACTTTTAGCAAATAATAAAAATATACAGAACCATTGATATTATATGTATGGGTGTACCAATATATAGTAGAAAACATCACATTACATCAAATAAGTAACAAGCTTCTATAGATTTGAATGGCTGGAAAGCAAATGAAGACAATACATCAATATCCTAAAAGTAAAAGAAAATTTAAAGAAAAAAATTCGTTTGCAAATAGCTGAACAGGTTTCCATGAATATTTTATATTTATATTGCACTTTTTATTCAAACACTTTAAAGCACTTTAGAACCATAAATAAAAGAAATTCAACACAGTCCATGAAATCCTTCAATCCTAATTGCAGTCTTGGTAACAAAACATGCTCCTCAAGATATTGAGTCTCTTGTTGCAATTACGGCTTTGTTACATTCTCAATGTGCATAATTAGGCACAATTCACAGCATAAATTACTGCACTCTACCAGAACAGCTTCTGTCAGTAACATTTTTTTGTGGAGGAACATGTATTCAGAATTTAGAGTATCTGCATTTGCCAAAGTTCAGTTTTTTCAGGTCTGTGCTTTAATATCTTCTGTGGTTTATCAGCCTTGTTTTTCTTTAATATTCTCAAAAGACTGAGCAAAAATACACCAGTTTAGTAGCATGGAAGAAGCATGTAGATAATGCATTAGCACTATCCACCTAAGTTAAGGTTAGAGTATAGTAATTTGTTCACATATGTTTGTAGTTTATTCAGCAATATCTGATTTACTGAAATTATTTCAGCTGTTTTACATATCCTGAGGGCACTGAACTATGGTATCTCAACAACGTACATTCCCAGACAGTTGCATTTATTTTACATATGTTAATTTTGCATATAAAACAAGTCTTACCCAGCTCTAGTTGTTTTATATTCCACCTTAAGGATAGGTTTGCAGGGTTCTGGCTTCTTTCCGTCCTTCAGCTGCTTTCCTAAAGTTAATTATTTGCTTATATTAATCTTACAGTTTCACAACATAACAAATTATGAAATTCACTATACAGCTTTCAAAATAGAACATTCATACAAACATATATTCAACATCTCTGACAATTATACAGTATGCCTTCGAATAATATTAAAGATTTATTAAAACTCTCAATACACCAACCTAGAATATTTAGGTGTAGTTTTTTGGGTTTTTTTCCCCAGTGTTTTGTTTGTTCTGGTTTGGTTTTGGGGTGGGTTTGTTTTTGTTGTTTGGGGTTTTTTTTAAGTGTTGTAGAATATTTGTTTTTAGAAATATAATCCTCCCACAAAAAAGTTGTTTTAAGTAACACTGGGATATTTAAAATTTATTTTGTGTCTACCATTTCACAATTAAATTTGGTCAGATTACAAGTAAAGTGAGGTTTATTCTGTGTGTTATCCTTAAGGATTAATACTTGAACATGAAGGCCCGCTCTTTCTCTGCTGTGCAACATCAGCAACTAAAGCTTCTACAAACAGAATTTCCCATAAATCAATAGAAATTAGGAGTATTGAGTAAATATGCATCTCTTCTATCTGAACACTGATAAGGTCTGATGCAACTATAAAGTTTTGCAAATTTTCAGCCCAAAATAAAAATAAAAATGTGTATTGAAAGAGGCCAAAACGTATTAAAATAAAGTTAGACTTGTCTAACTAGTTTTACTACTACAGTAGCAGTCAGGTTTAAATTTTTGACTGCTACAGGATCATACAGAAGTCCACAGCTTCCTTTTCCCACTCTAGTCCACAGCCAGTACAGTAAAGACTCAGATAGTTAAACCAGAGAATGCTTAAGTATAGCATCTTGTACTACAGCTGTAACCTCATAGATTACCCTCACCATTACATTGACAGGAATCCAAGGTAACTAAGTTGCTAAGACATGACTTAGGCACATGCACACAATACAAACCTGGCATTTGCATAGAAGTTTTTTTTGAAGAACAGCAGCATATTTCACAGAACATGTAATGTTATTTTCCTAGATTAACATTAATGCAAGACTTCTCAGAAGTGGGAACATTTTACCAGACGCTAGCCTTACTCTGTTATAAACCTTTCCAAGAATTTATATGATAATCTACACATTTATACATGAAACAGATGCTTTCTTATATGTATTTTAAACAACATATGGGATTGCAATGTCAAGCAAAAGCAAGACCTGCAAAATATGCATTAGTTAATTCTGAGATCAATGCCACTGTGTGAAAGGCAAGCTTAAAGTTCAGATTTAGACAAAACCACACTGATTTGGACTCATTTCATAAAAATTTTATTTTTAATGAAATCTATCAGAATTTGATATGACAGAGAAAGTTTACTTGCATTGGAAGTGCATTTTTAATACTTGATTTTGCAAAACACACTTCTATTAAAAATAAGTTCTCTGTGCTTTAAGCACTATCAAACACAGTGTGTATCCATTTTCATCTTACCATGTGGAGTGATTGTCTGGAATGGTTTAGTAGGAGATTTTACATTCCAAATGGTCAAGGTACCGTCTGAGTGACTACAAATAAATTGTTTTCCTTCATGATGCCAAGCCACAGAGTGGATAGCCTATGCAAGAAAAAAGAAAATGCAGAACAATGTAAGATGAGTATCTAAGTATCATTTAACTTTACTCCTTCCTCCATGACATTAGACAGCAACAGAAAAGTAGAGAAAGTACTAAATCTTACTGCTCTTAGTATGTCCTAATTTACCTATGGTAAGTTTTCTATTTGTAATTACTTCTTTCAGACATTATCCATCAGAAATACTGTCTTCATTGTAGTGCCATATTTTAAGGAGGGGAGGGGAAAAAAAAAAAAAAATCCTCCTCAGTGTAGAAAAAAATCCTCCTCAGTGTAGGATTACTTTTTTTTTTTTTCAACAGTGGGTAGCATGCAGAGAATAACCACAAGCATTATTTGAGCTTTGCTAACCAAAATTTTTTATTCTTGAGAAAAAGGCATTATCCGTACAAGAAATATCTACTTGATGGGATTATTAAGTCAAAGTTTTAAATGGACTTTGGAAATGTCTCTGGTTATGCACAAGAAGCAAACATGGGCTGAGAACATAAGTAAAAATGAGAATTGAAATAATAAGATTTATTTTTTTTAGAAATTATGAATGAAGATGAAAATATTATGAATAAGCATTCTAATGTTACAATGACAGTTTTGAGCTACAGGAAAGTGTAGGAATCTACTAATAAATCTGTGCAGGAATCTACTAGTAAGTATTTCCAAGAAATAAACATCTTTATAGTCATCAAATTAGGAATGGAATGATTAAACCATGTCACATGAAATCTTACTGCAGAAAGACATTGACTAAATGAAATTTAGTTGCTGCCTTCAGGCCAGGAAAAAAGTAAACAATCAAGCAGAGAGTACAAATAAGGCAAAGAGATTAACTATCAAGAAGGGATAGGTGCCATTTCTGTTTCTAGCATCTCTACTAATATGTGGAGACATTATGAAACCATTAGGTGATGTTTGAGGGAGTTTTATGTAGAAATGTATACATTGATATAGCATGAAAATGTCAATAATGAAAACCCAAAATGTTTCTCTACTCCCCAAAAAGGTGCAGAAGAAAATATTACTTGCTAGAAGTAGGAACTTTGTTATTACTAAGAATGCAGATTTGTGTAATTCATATAGTAAAGACATTACTGTAAGTAAAGCTGAAAGCAGGACCTGAATATGTGAAAGCTGATGGGTTGTACGTACAATACCATCTTCTGAGTGGATACCCTCAGCAGACATTCTGTCTGTTAGCAGGGCTTAGACTCACTCCATCTCTTCAGGTACCTAGGGATTCCCTCTGAGGAAACCCAGGTGTGTGAGTAGTAGAGAATCCTAACTAACAGTGAAAGCTTAGGTAGTAAATTATTATGTGAAGAGTATATCACACAAGACAGCTCTAAGCTAACTTTGCCTAAACTGATTACACACAGATCAGATCTTCACATTTCATGAAATTATACAGAAAGACAGTTTCCAGCAATACGATTGGGAGAATCCAGTGATTAAACAACAGAGGAAAATGACTACATTACGTGAGTAATAACTTTTCCAACCTAAAGTAGTAGAAGATCTGGATATATGCAAATTACAGATTAACTAAATTTAGTATTTGTTAGTGAAATTTAATCTTGTTCTCTATGTAGTGTGGAATCACTGTAGATTTTGTAGAAGACAGATTCAATGTACCAATATCACATCTACACATAGGTAGCTTAGAAACCTAGACATTGCACACGAAGCCTCCTAGTGTCAAAGTGAAATAGTCTTGCTCATTCTAAGCTAATTTTTTATTTAGCAAATAAAAGTATTATAAATTTTACATAAATATTGAACATTTGTTTTCATTTACCAACGTAGTACCAAAGTCTGCGATCAGTAAGTTTGAAAGTGCACCCTCTGTAAAGCAAAGGCTACGTTTCAAAAGGCTCTTTTCACCAACAAATTATCTACACGCTTTGACTAGCAATACAATGTAGTATGTATGTTTTAGGCACTTTCCCATGTGGAGTCTAACCCTGACAGACAACAGCAGACAGCCATAGTGTAATACAGAACAGCTTTTGATACACATTTATGTAGAAAATAGATCTTAAGAACCAGTAAGAAAGCAAGCTTTACAGAAGGAAGGATAACTCAGAGAAATTAACACATTTTCCTTTCCTTAAAAAAAGTTGGTCAAGAGGAAGGAAATGCAACAGACCATTACTGTTGAAACAGCATTAATGCTTAAGAACATAAAAAGATCTGATAAACTCAGAACAAAAGAAGAGGATTAGTGCTATCAATTTCTGCAAGGAACCTGATGGGATGGAAAGAAAGCTGAAACAGAATAACGAGGCCTCTGGCTTTATGTCTGTTTATTGTCCAGTTTTATAAAGCATGTGGTTACATTTAGCAATGCAGCTAAATATTATTTAAAGCATAACAAAAATACAAGTTCTATGTATTGTTAAATTAATCCAACTAACAATTATGTGGGCTGAATATGATAAACTTTGGTACAGAGCCCTATCCTTTGGTATTACAAAATCTGCAACTTTTTGCAACTTTTTTGTAAGCCTGAAAATAAAAGCAGACCTGTAGACTAGCTGTAGCATAACCTCTAAGTATACAACAGGCTAGTATATCTACAGTGGCAAGGCAGTAACACTGAAAAAAGTACAATAACTTTAGGTGGCACTGGTTGGTTGCTATCAATAGCTTCTATCACCAAAAATAATTGACAACTAAAAAATAATCCCAAATACTCAAGAGCAGAAGTTTTGACATTTTTTCATGGTTAATATTAGAGCTAGAATTTGAAGGAAAGCGTAACATCCAAGATAGAAAGAAATCAGACAGAATCCACTGAGACTGTAAATCTATACATAGCTTCTTAGATACTAAAAAGCCCTTAAGGGTAATATATTTTTTCAAATATTTTACACAAAACTTACTGATCCAGAATAAAACCCTCTATGTTTTAATCATAATTCCTATCTTTATTTAAAACTATCTAGTACCCTTTTGGTACCACAATGCAGCAGTATGCTTAAATCAGCTGGTGCTGATTCAACTGCATCTCAAATATTTTTGTGTAATATATCACTGGTCATATGTGGATCTCAAACAGACAGTAATCCCTTATGACAAGATCATGTCTAAGTACCACAGAGGACTGTTGCTATATTTAAGGCACAAGGTGTTTATATCCTTAAGAGGAGTTGTCTGCACAGGTAACAAGTCCTGACCTCAGTAACATTCTGAATTTTTCCATTTACAAACATGTACTGAATACAGGGAATCTTTACAGGAACTTACACAGAGAATGCTCTATAAAAATAACCACCTTATGTAATTTTAAAGATTTATTTAAACTAATGGCTTCTTATTAGAAGTATTCCTAACATCCCCTTCATTTTGATTTGAAGTTAAGGTAGCTGTTCTGGATTACATGGTAGTTTGTTTCAGAACTTCCAAGACATTTATGTATTTTCAAGGGAGGGGAATAAAATCTTACTTTTTTGATTAACAAATGCAGTACAATTGACTGCACTGTCCTATAGATGCCAAAGCTTAACCAGACACGTAAAAATTAACCATCAGAGAGTATTACGTGGAGACAGGTTGAATATGAAGGAAGCTTCACTTTCACCAACTGTTACTGAAGGATTATCCTGTGTGGAAAAATGACTGCTATACCACCTTCAAAGAATGTGAACGATCTGATTTTCAGAAGGAAACATTTTTGCAATGACTGCAACAATTACCTGAGGGAGACTGTAGGACTGTGAAGTGCAATCACAAACAAAAACCAGAAAAAGTCCGAGGAATAAAATTAAAAGCATTTACAAGCAAATGTCCTACAGAAATACATTAAATAGATCACTAGCTTTTCAAAAGAGATTAATGCATGTTTAAAAATATTTTATGAAATACATTTTTACTGCTGCAATAGCTTGTCACTATCTCTAGAAATTGCTATTACATCTTGGTTCTTTAAAAAGGTACAAAAATTAATAACTCTAACTACAACATTACAATTTAAGACTGAAGTTTTGATTGTATTTTTCCACCAAGGAGATTTAACTGTTTCAATTTATAAAATAGATATATCCCTTTCTGTTCCATTCCTATAGACTTCTTTTAACCCTATAGCTGATTATATCCATATGATTTCAGAACAGTTGAGACCACTCTTCATATCCTATCTTCCTGCAACACAAGATAAATGCAGAAATGTATTGATACTTTGACACGAACACAAGAACTATTAATTTGAGCGGTTTCCCCTCTTTGTAAGAGACTTTAAACCATTTTTCTAATACCAAGTTTAGACCACTGCAAGTACAGTTGCTACAACTCAGAAGACAAAAGAAAATCTCATTAAACTGTCTTTAAAAAAAAAAAAAAAGCCAAAACAAAACCAAAACCAACATGCATCTACTTGCTTGCTTTTCAAGTATAACACAATATCTGACAAAATGTTTCTGCATACTTTCCCACTGGAACGCACCAGAACCATGGAGAATTCCTTTAATCATGCTTTGGGTTGGACCATGATGCTTATTCTTTCCTGCTGTTAGTTGAGCTTGAAATATACTGTGCATGACTGGTAAGGTCCATGATATTAGATTAGTTATTCTGCAAACTACAATGTTTACCATAGCCTATTAAGATTTTACTGGTTTATGATAATTCTCTATTTCCATGGACATGGACAGTATTTTCTGGTAAACCTGAACAGATGGCAAAACTGATTCCTTTTCTACAGGTTTACCGAAATATTAAAAGCACGCACAGTAACTTGGGAGTATCTATGCTAACTCTCTTGTCAACAGACTAAGAAAGTGGAAAAAAATGCTGCAAGAAGAAGAAAAAAAGTGTAGCTACTGTGACTTAAGCAGCAATATATCATAAAGATTGTTTTGATGCAATGGAATGTGCAAGTGCCTAATGGCTGTGTTACCGAAATCCGGGATAAAAATAACTTATCGACACCAATTTGATGCAGATAAGCAGACACTTCTTTATTGACGACCGGACGTGTAGGGGAGTGCT